CGGTCCGGCATGGCCCTGGTTATACAACCTTGTGTATAACCAGGGAAAATTGTAATAATTCAGATATACATTAAAATAGATATTGTTGTTCTGAATGAACCTTATGTTCAACATGATCTGCCATAATACCATTATCAAATTTCGCATGCTTAACCCAGATCTTGTGGCATATATATTTTAATAACAGTGATTGTTGTTAAAACCATGAAAAATAGTCATCTTAAAAAAAAAAACGTTTGACCCTGGGCTGCATGGTCATGTAGTGTTACATCCTATCATCAAATGTACAATGTAGTACCATGATTATGGGACATCCTTTGCCAGTATCAAAATATGATAATAGGTTTTCCCCTTTTTTCTGGCAACTAAACAGGTGTTAAGATGTTAAAACACCTAACTGAACCTTTTACAAGGAATCATGTCTGCATTAACGACGGTGTTCGACAAGTACTCCATTTGGCTTCCTCTGGTCTAACCGTTTGAGACTGGGCTTGAAAGAAAGCTGTCTCTGGTGTGGACCAATCAGTTTCAAAGACAATGCATATATTATCAGAGTATGTTTTTTATTTGCATTCTGACCAAAAGTATTGTGGTTAATGCAGACATTATTCCTTGTAAAAGGTTTCAGCTTGGTGTTTTAACATCTTAACACCTGTTTTGTTGCCAGAAAAAAGGGGAAAACCTATTCTCATAGTACCATGATGTTAAAGAATTTTCATATGCGGCCATCACTGTTTCAACTATCCAATTAAAACAGCTCTGATGCTGAGTGTGGCAGGTTTGCTGCCATGGGTAGTGTCGGATTAAGCTAGTGCAGGGCCTGTAGCATATGTCATAAGGGTCCCTAAATAAAATAAAAACACAAATATTAAAAGATTAATTTTTACTTTCATAGTAAATTAATTGTATTTTTTCATTTGTTATACAGCCAGATAATACGACAAATCGCTAACCTTAAACACACAGTCGTTCATAAAAGTTGAAGGCGGTATAGTACTATAGTAATCGAGCAAGTGCAGAATCACTGAACCGGAATTGATAGCTTGAAAGCATTTAGCGCGGGGCCCTTGAAAGTGCGGGGCCCGTAGCTACATATGTAACTACTTTTGCTACTCGGAGAATCCGGTACTAGCCATGGGTACTTTTAAAACAGCAGGGTGTCTGTTCATGGCCTTTCTGGTCGTCTCTGTGCTCGCTAAAGAAAAGAGTTTCACATGGTTGTGCCACTTACAATCATCCCAAGCCATCAAGCCTGTTTTGTTTTCCAAATTCTTATTCTGCTGCTAATTGGCCTTTGCCCAATCTGTTTTTTTCAACTCTCGCAACGTAATGAACACACAAGATAAATGTTTACAGGGAATTGTGACATTCAAAATAGACAATTTCACATAGAGAAAACACATTGGAAAAGGCAAATATGCAACGAAGAAACATTGTTCTGGACAAGCGTCGAACTGGGAATTCAACGTCAGCGGCGAGCGCTGGGCCTGAGTGCCGCAGTGGAGTAATCGAGACTGGGGATTTGGTTCGAGATGACATTTTAAAATAAAGAGTAACACAAGAAATTGAGAGCGACTTGTATACAATAACAAGGACGGAAATCTTGTAGAATTACTTAAAACAATTTAAGAGGGAAATAACCCCATTTTCCCCATTAAGTCTATTATTTGTTGAACGCGGTTTTCCCCAACATTGCATTTTCCAGGAATGTAACCCTCGCGTTTCGCGACGTCTGTCTGTATACAAATGAGACGTGATTCGATGCATGCGTGAACTTAAGAATTTGGTTTAATCAATGCATTCACACCACAATTTTAAGAGTGTAACCTACCATTTAGAAATGTCTGTCTATAAACGTCACTGAAAAAGCGAAATCAGTCGGATCAGTTTCTGTAGCTTTCAACACCTGTGGCTAAGTCGTGTTCACACCGACATTGGGCATCTGTGGCAGTGTGTATGGTGGCACACAGTAGGGATGGGGCAAATTGCATCAGCTCGTGTACAGGAACTAGATGGATTTTTGCATTGCAGGACCATTAGAAGTGATGGCTTGGGGATGACTTCATCCCGCAGTGGATAAAAGCTGAATGTAAAAAATCATGACATTTTCAGTTTGCCAGCAAGTTCCCATTACTGCAAAGCATCTTCCCCCAAATTAATCCAATGTTAATAGGTTTACAGTTTTAATTATAGGCAAAAACAAAGAAACTATTTCCCAGTAGAATTAAGAATATAAACATGAACGCTTTCTCTTCATAAAATCGTAACTTTATTTTCAATGCATTTTTATTATCATCGACCCGGAACCCATTACAGTGCATTAAAAAGTGAAAGCACTGAAAACCCAAAATTATTGGAGTGGGGGGAAAAAAATTCACACCAAAAATATAATTGACACCAAAAATCAAGAACCCCATATATAATGTACATAATGTATGTTTCCAAGAGCAGACAATATAAACGATATAAACACAAGTATATTTCTATGAATGAACCTGAAATGTAAACTGCCAAATATTACACGTTTTGCTTACATTTTAATTTGCACGAACCAGAAGTCATGATTTCATTGTTTATCGCCTCGTCTCAAGCCTCCCATTTCAGGAAGAACCTCAGATCCAATCCGAGGCCACTCTAAAGTGGAACAATCACCAGCTATCAGCCGTCTCGCCATCAGCATTCATGTGTTCATCAAGATTAAATTACATCACTTCTTACATTTTACACAAATCATTCAATATTATTAACAAAGCGGCCGCATACGATGGCACAGGATATTCCTTATATCAGAGCAGGGTTTTAAATGTAATCTTTTGTTGTTGTAATCTCTGACACTTCAAAATAAACCTAAGAATTGTAAATGTTTTCGTATGGCTATTTAAATCTTGGGTGCGGTAAATTAAGCCAAATACTACCTATGGCTTATGTTTTTTTTTAATCTTGAGTGTCTATTAAACCGTAAGAACCTTGAATCACCATTATATTGGCTCCAAGTCTCAAGCACCTATAGAGCACAGTGATCTTTGGATATCAGGTGATTTATTAATATTCACGACATGCACCTTTGTGAATACAATGAGAGCATTAACCATTGTCACGATACAACGTCATGAATATTAATGAGCTCCCTTGGCTGAAAACAGCGGCCAAGACTGCAATGTATCCTTGGTCCCTGGAACTTGAATTCCACGAGATGCTGCAGATTGCCAAAGGTGGAAATCATCTGTCATTGGCAGTCACTCATAGTTGAGGATGATACTCGATATAATAAAAAAAACATTTAAAATACTCAGAAAACTTTTAAAAATGTAGTTCCCAGATGAAATGCATGTGACCAGAATTGCCATGGCACAATTCCACGGAAAAAAATATGTACACCCCATAACTAATAACGTACGTTTATCCTACGAGGAAGTGCTGCCATTAGCATCTCACGAGTTTGTTTAAAAAAACACAACTTGGTGGCATGTTTTGCCACTTCAATTACACGCCCCTACATCCAGCATGGCATCCCATGTGAACAAGGTCCGCTTGACAGTGTTCATGGTCGGTTTACATGTAATCGTTAGTGATGGCGACAGGCAAATAAAAAATATGTCTCTTCAGTTATCATTTAGTCATCACAGCAATATTCCAAGCAATCGCGTGTGCGATTGATCGTCAGAAGAGAGTAGCACCCTGTTCGTGAATAACAATTGCACTGCGACACATCAGCCAACTAAAACAGCGACGATTACTCCTCATTCTATATTTACATTGTATTTAAAATATTTTCTCTCTTGGGTCGAATACAGCAATGGCTTTGTTTAACGAAGTAAAATTATAAAAAGGAAATTCCAAAATGCATTTGTGGTCATCGTTAATGACAGTAGTAGCACTGGGACACAGAGACTAAAACAGCGACGATTAATAGTTTTATATGTACATTGTACTTGAAATATTTTATCTCGGAATCGAATACAGCAATGGCTTTATTCAACTAATCAAGTCAAATTATGAAAAGCAAGGGAATTCCAAAAAGGCATGTGTGGTGTTGACAGTTCAGTTAAAGGTGTCAGTTGGCAGTGAATGTGATCATGGTTGTTGATGTTGAAGGTGTTGGCATATATGCTGTTTGTGGTGCAGTTGCGTTGTTTACATGTTTAGTACAACCTCTGGACAGAGCAAAGACGTAGAGGCTCCCTGGAAAAGAAAAAAGAATCTCTACAAGGAACACTGCTCCAATGGTAAGCTGTGCTCAGCATACAGCGTTCCGCATAAACTAAGGCATAAGTTAAGTTGGCAACTGATTGAATAAATGTATTTCATTTGCTTTGAGATTTCCAAAAGTGGCTGAGCCAAGATCACAGGCTGCAGATCACGTGACAGACCCGCAAGTTAACACGTGCTCTGATAGTGATAACCTTGCACGCTCATTTATACATTTTCTAAATTTCTGTACATGTTTTTTCTTTTACAATTAAATATTGTTTTACAGTATATTCAGTATATATGTTTTTGGAAAATAGATTTAAGAACATTAATATTTTTGTTCAAGTAAATATTCCTATCCAGTGCATTTATTAGTAAACACAATGGAAAGTGCCTTTCGAAAGTTCCACATCAATTAAAGGAAGCGTACCAATGTGTCCGAGGAAGAGAGATTTCAATCGGTGCATACTGCCAGCTGCGACATACGCATCAGAAGCAAGGAGACTGATAAAGAAACTGAAACAAAATGTGAACATTGAACAGAGGCATGGAGAGATGCATGATTGGAACTACACCGAGACAGAAACAAAAACACGTGGATTAGGGAACAAACACAAATCCTAAATTTCGATTTAAAGCTTTCGTGACTGCAGGGATTCATCTTCTTGGTTCTTTCGGTAAAGTCACGTAGAAGGGAAATAATAAAATAATAAAAATAACACATAATAAAATAATAAAAAATAATAAAATAATATAAAACATTATTTCTTTTATTTTTATTTTTTATTTTTATTTTTTTTATTTCCCTTCTACGTGACTTTACCGAAAGAACCAAGAAGAAGAAACACAAATCCTACTTAACGGACACGGGGCGAGACGGAATGATGGCTGATGGACGAGACTGCTGACGGAATGGCAGCCACGACTAAGAGGATGAGCACCGCATGGTAATAGCACTGTGGAACGGGAGGAATGCCGATGGTATGGGGAGGTCTTCATCTAGCTGTGGATAGATCATGGCTGATGACGACTGCATAGTACTTACTGTAAGAAGATTGCTGATTTCGTGAAGCCCATAATACACACTACTAAGCCATCTGTCTCTCTGTATGGTGGCAAGCAACACAGATTCAACTGCAGTAATATTTGCAGCATAACTAGAAATGAAAATTTAGTAACCGTTGTTTGCGATCATACAATAGTTAAACGTAAAGTACATTTAAGTGTTACACATCAATTACAGGATGCTTGACATCAATCACCAGAAAGGATCTCCCCCTAATTGAGCTTTCAGAGTTTTTACTCTGTGTCGCAATGATGTTATGATGAGGCGGTGGTGGCCATGTCGTATATCGTGAGGGTTCTGAGACCAGTAGAGGTGGTGGACATAGTGGATGTTGTGGTTGTGCAATGTTGATGCTGGTATATTGCAAGGTGATGTGTAATGGTCCCTGAAGATTACACTTTTAGAGCCAATGAAGTGAGGGGTCAGAGGGCACACAGGTAGTCGTGGAGAGGAATGGCAGTGGCGCCCGACAAGGCGATGCCCAGCGTGTCCGCCACGCTCGCCACGCCCAGCGAGAACTCACGGCGACGCTTATCCCTCTGGCACGAGACACGGAAACACGCACACACACAAGATACATGAGCAGCAAGTGATGAGAATATGAAAAAGTGAATTGAAAAATAACAACAGTTTAGCCAGGGTCCCCACTACCCTGTTGTGGGTGCAAATGGCCTCTGACAGGCTCAAGCATGGTGGCGTATGTTCAGATATCCCCCAAATACAAACGTCTCATTGAACAAACAAAATAGCAGACTAGTAAAGCAAGCATGTGGAAAAAATGAATGTAAGAATGCACCAGTAAACGACTAAATGAATAGATGCCTTCATAAACAAGTGAATGCCTCAGTAAATTACACACGTTATTGAGTGAATGAGTAAACAGTATAGAACACGAGCAAGACTGTTCACGAGTGAACACGTGAAAAGCAGCGGCGTTTTAGCACCTCTGCACTGATGTTGAGGAACGTGTTGACATAGGCCGCCCCTCCGAGCAGCCCCTCCCACAGGATTATGGGTAGCGCCAGCCAAAACGTGGGCAGCAGCGTGAAGAAGACGAGGAAGAAAAACGCGATGAGGTTGATGACCTGCAGGGGTGGAGGACGGTGCACGCACGACCGTGTGTCGTCGAACGCCAAGTCACCATCAACGCATTCACGCGTTTGTGCTTGTGCTTGGCTTTAGTCACGGCGCGAGCCCATATCGAGCTCGCACTCGCAAATGAAGTTTATACTTTAGTTTGTTATGCAGTTTATACTTTAGTTTTTTACGTGGTTGTTTAGTAACTGCAGCTACATACTATTAACATTCCTTTCCTTTGTTAATGCTACCCCCCTCCCCCCCCCCTTTGATGCTGCTAATCCTGCATAATGCACGGGCATAGTATTGATTTGGAACCCCCCCCGCCCACCTCCTACGCATTTTCCATATCCTGAATTCCTCTTGATATGCAAATTATTTTGTTTAGGCGCTCTTCTTCCCACCTCCCCCCCTCTAACCCAGCTTAAATATACGCTCCAAGCTTGGTGGTGTTTCATTCTTCGCCTGAGGACGGCTGCTTGCGTTGTGGCCGCAACGTCGTGAGAATTGTTTTATTATGTTTTATTTTTATTATTTTATTACTTCCCTTCTACGTGACTTTACCGAAAGAACCAAGAAGATGAATCCCTGCAGTCACGAAAGCTTTAAATCGAAACTCGCAAATGAGTTTGTCACCATGGAGTAGTTGATGGTTTGATTCCATATACGGCCTCACCCTAATGATCCTAGCCCTAATGTTAGCAGATGTAGCCGGAGGCTAAGTCCTCCTAAGTCCAACCTTGACTGCTATAACCTAAGACAAACATGCGTAGCCCTGAAACAAATAAGCTTTGCCAATCCTCTCACAGGCCCAGCACTCACCCTGCCCCTAACAAGTTTAGCAAATCCCTGACCGGCAGAGCACTCACAGTAATAATAATAATAGATGTAACCCAGGAACACACAAGAAACAGGTAACAAGTCTGGAAATTGTACTTCTGCACTAAATTAAAGGCCATTTCTTCCTGAAATTACAGATTTTAATGATGAACGGTGTAAGTTCTTGTAAATAGACTTCAACAATGCAGTCCCTTAGCTCTTTTGTTACAGGTGAATGACACAAAAGAGAAAAGTGACGATGAGTTAGGCGAGTTACCTGCAGCAGAGCGAGAATCCAGGTGCGTGAGATGCGGATCCACTGAGCTGACGAGCGAGACACGAATACCCCCAACTGGTAGGTCGCCTGGTACCTAACACACACACAGACACACACAAAATAAACACCAACATCCCACACGAACGCTTATAGATGTTTAGGGTAAGTGCTGTCAGTGAGCACCTATTAAGGCCGACGAGGTGCATGATGAGGGGGTGTGGCCAGCCCCACGCTCGATTGCCCTCGTCTCCCCAGTGTCCGTGCTTACACATTGCATCAGGTGCTCATTAAAAGCCGGGTTGTCCTCGGAGCTGTACAGAACGAGTTATGACACTGCTCGCCAAATGGTATTTTCCATGGCTGGGAATCGAACTGAAGTCACGGGGTTCGTATCACAGTACACATAACCACCGTGACGCCGCTCCACATATATACAATAACAACTACTGTTCGCCGCTAAGTGGAGTGGCGGTGACGTTACCACGGCACTTGTGCCATGCTAAGTGCACTTTGACGCCACGTGAAGTGTCGAAGACTCGCTGGCAGGAGGTCACGGAACAGACCCAAGTGCCGTAGGTTGGCTTGAGATGACTGGCAGATGCACCATGTTCCCCTCTGTGCCACTTCTCTGAATTTGAGCCACTCAGCACTTTGGTCATTGCTGCGAGCATCGCGTTTCCACCCACCGTTGTTACTGGAGGGTGGACTGGCTTCCCAAACCTCCTACAAAGAGGCTGATCTTGACACCACTGGTACGAGCCATCGGCAAGTCCAATCACCTCCACATCTTTCTGTATCACATCAGTCCATCTCTCTTCTCTAGTCTGTGCTTCGCCCATTTAGCCCCCTCTATCCGACCAAACATAAGCTGCTTGGGCATGCAGTGGCTAGGTATGCAGGCTACATGACCCAGCCAATGTAGCCTCGTTTGCCGGAGGAGCTCACTGATGGAACTTTGTCCAGATCTTTCAAAGATCTGGGAGCTCCTCACACAATCCAGTGTGGTTAAACCAGAATGGATCATAAGCAGGCTAGCCTGCATGTATACACATACTACATTGAGACATGTAAACAAACTTTTTTTTTAGATTTCCAACATTCAAAATGTATCCTTGCTTAAACAAACATAAGTTGGTGCTAATCATCACCAGGGGTGAAAATTCCACAATCCCATGCTTGTTGATTTTCTACACTATATATGATCTCCCATCCAAGAATTGAAGTCATGGCCTCATGAATATGACTCGAGCATTGTAACCACAACATGACAGCCATATTCGCATACACATTCATACATCGACTAAGCTAGGAGCAATTATTCAATGGACCGTCACGAATTAGGGTTGCTATTCTATTAAAACATCTATTATTGTTGACTTAAAGCTTTCGTGACTGCAGGAATTCACATTCTTTGAAAGATCCAAAGAATATATATTATTGTGTTAATGTGGTGTAAGTAGCATCTTTAACTGCTGCAATTACAAACACATACATATTGAAAATAATCAGTCTTTACATGCGTAATATTATGCATGCAGCGTGAGTTTGAGCATAAACTGTAACTAATGAATGTGGATTGACAAACAGCTTTAAATTATTATCATTATCATTTGACATGCACTTACATATACACATCCACACATGCCCAAAACATGAAAACACATTAATATTCACACACAGTAATGGGTGGAGTGTGAATGAGATCTCACCAGCGGTACTGATCCCCATGACTCAGGTAATAGTTTGGGAAATAGAGCAACTCAAACTGTAATGAAAGAAGACACAACCACATGCACATCAGCCATGGGAGCAGCCCCAGGCAGCTCATAATCAATCGAGCCATTGATCGTTGGAATTAAACCTGACGGAATAAAATAATCAGCGAGGTGGCTACATAGCCCAGGCATCCAAGCATTTAGCACCATACTCTTTGGGTCTTTCGATAAAGTCATGTATATAGGTTCAAATAAATTAACAAACAAAAAAACTACGACGTTTCCCCCTCTTCCTGATGACGACCGCTTATGTTACGATCGAAACGTCGTCGTTTTTTGTTAATTTCTTTGAACCTTTAAGTCAAGATTCATTCAGCACAACGAAGATCCTGGACTCCTATCTGGGTTTCAGCCACTCGCGATAAAAACGCATTCTCAATTGTGGTACATTGATGGTTTCAGCCCCGACACACAAATGACTGCGCAATAAAACATTGCTTAATTTCCTGTGAAATCTCCTTATGTGGAGTGTTCTCTATTGATGGGTGAGGCAAAAAACATTTGAAAGTAAAATTTGTCAGTAAAATCGTAGTCAACAGCGAATCATGTCGTAGTCACTAGCAGCAGTGTGTACATATTGATGGTGTTTTGCAAAGGGGGATATTTTAGCATTTGAATGGTTATTATTACATTAAAATGGGACAAAAAAATAGCTGACATTTAAATGGAGACAAGGGACAAGAGCTCTAGACAATAAAAACGTAAGGGTTCTGTATATTATCAATGATCATGTCCCGCTCTGATGGCCAACTACACGTGTATTTCTAGTATTCTTGTTGACAAATGAAGAAGGAATGCGTTTGTGTTACGAGGACCAACGGTCCCTAACCGGCAGACTCACCAAGCCCTGGTTGATGAAGTACTCCGCAAAGTACACAAGAGCAAGGGGGACGGTGAACCTCAGCAAACTCTGGAGACACCACCAAAAGCAGCATTACCTTCATTGCAATTACAGCACGATTGTCACTAACGTCATCATGCAGCTAGATGGCGCTGTGCTTACAGTGTTTAATTAGCCTTTAAAATGCAACAATACGTCAACATTCATCATTAAAATACAATTTACGATATATACAAATGGTACACTGTATTTAACATTCTTATAAACATCAACACGATATGATTAACAGTATCAATGTCATATTATTGGTTATTTCAGTAAGGTCACGAAGAAGGGAAATAATAAAGTAATAATAAAACAATTTCATTCTCACGACGTTTCGATTACAACACAAGCAATCAACATCAGGTGTGAAACCCACAGCAAGAACATTTGAAATGTCATTACAATGAAAATCATAACTAGTTCAAAATTACTGTCACCATTGTCGATATTATAATGACCATCAACAATTTCACAATCACATCATCACCAATATAATTATTATCAACATGATTAATATCACCGTAAAGATCACCTAATTGAAATTGATTTCTTCACCACAAACAATGAAAACTAAATTCACAATAACATCATCATTGACATCTGCTACAACAGCATAATCAACATCATCTCTATCAGCACCACGTTGTCACTTTCATATTCTCTCACCTTCACAATAAGCCACTTATCCTTAAAGGAAAGAATGTCATTTTCCAAACCTGTGAACAAAAATATGACGAGTGACTCCCCACTTATTGTTTCAAGTTATGGCGATTCGACTCAAGAGAGGGTTGTTAGACAAAATCATAAAAACATCGAGAAGTGACCCAATGCAATGCTTCACCAACAACTGATAAGCAAGGTGGCCCGAATCATGGACTGGGCAAGAGGGGACAGCCTTGCTGAGGTAGGCCCCAACCGGGCCATGTAGGCTACTAATAGAGGGCCGCATCGCCCACTTAACCTCTGAACCAGTTATGGCATCACGGGTCATTGCAAATCAGGTGGACGGTTATTGGTATCTCTCAATTAGTTTATTACACGAAAGGCCCATTGACCAAAAAGAAGCACTTTTTCAATGGTGACATGGTCAAAACAGTAAGCAGGTTACATGGGAAGGAATGGTTTACAGGCAATGCATAACACAGAAGCAGGGACATGTTATAAACATAGCAAATAAACAATAATTAGAAACAACCACAACTATGTGCAATGTTCAGAATCAGAAACGGTTTTAATCGCCATGAAAGTTTACACATACACGGAATTTACTATGGCCGGAAGGTGCATACATTCAACATTGAGTGTATGCACCTTCCGGTCATAGTAAATTCCGTGTATGTGTAACGTCAGGTTTGTGTATTTACGAGAGAAAAAACACGATCCCGAAGTGAATACAAATAATAAAGAAACTTTACCTTGGAATAGTAAAACCTAAGCCTGCATTGAACCTATTTTTTTTTAACTATTGCTTCCCTCCAGCTGTGGAGGGAAAATATGGGGTGGGTGGGGGGTATGGAGTGGGACACGCCGGACTCGGTGCCGCGTGGTTCTCACAGCATTGTGACAAGGAACGAGCTGTGCCGGTTCCATACCAAAAACAGCTCAGCACGGCTCGGCAAACATTTCTAATGGCCATGAAAACATAGCAAGTCGACTTGGTGTTCATTTATTGAAGTGGCTGAATTATTTAGAGGGCTCATAATGTTGGAGAACGAAATTGCCACCATTGAGATCCTAGATTCATATCCAGGTTTCAGCCACATGTAAATTAAACTGGGTTCTCAAATATAATGAGTTGATCACAAAGGACTGCACAACAAAGCAATTCAGTTTTTAAGTGAATTCAGTCCGGCTCAGCTTTGAGGGCTGACATTTGTAAACATATTGAATGACCGACACACAAGGTGGATCAGAATTTACACGGCCTGATTTAGTGTCCTCGAGTGTTGAAGAAAAAGGCCAATGAAAGAAACTTGCGATTGAATTGCTCTGCTTTCAACTTGTGTTTTCCCGTCGTAGTTTTACCATAGTGCTCGTTGTTGGGGTCAGGGGCCAGATCATCGGAATCTGTGCCCAAGAGTGGCCGTTGTGACTCCTCTGCGGGCCGCAATGAGCAAGTGTTGCCACATTCTCTTTGGCTCCATCCCGGTGGGAAAACCAGCAGCAACCAGTAGCTGCACACACACACACACATGGACAAAGATCCACTGAAAAGTCTTAACAGACTGTTGGGGCAAGTGCTGTTGGTGAGCACCTATGAAGGCCGGCACGGCACACGAGGGGGTGGGTGGCCAACATAACGCCCTCCGTCTCCCGCGTCGCGATGTTTACACACCGCACCAGGTACTCATTTGAGGCCGAGTTGATACACACACAGACACTTACACAAAAACAAAGAATCCCCAGTACAGCCTTCACAGACTATTGGGACAAGCTCTGCTCACAAGCACACACCAGCAAACAAATGCAAAATCATGTATGTATGTTGAAGTTCGTTTGAACCGTGCATAGCCAACCGTGCTAATAGGTTGTAAAGAAATTAGTTATCAATCTAAATTTAAAAGTGCATAACTCCAGTGGCTTCCTAATATTGGAAGAGTGTTCCAGATGGCTGTAAAAGCACATGTGAAATAGTGCGATGCAGTGACTGCCTTTGTGCGATGACTAGTTAAAAGTCTCTGCGAGGATGACCGGAGTTTCCGTGATAGTTTATGTTCCCTGATGAGATCAGCAAGGTATTGTGGTTCTTTTCTGGCAAGCACTTTGTGTGTAACGAGTGCGATCATATAATGTGTTCATTTAGCAACCAGAAGCCAATATAACTCAGCGAGCACTGGATGGGCATGGTCGGATCTTGCAGTACCCGTCACGACACGTGACAAACAGTTTTGTAAATGCTGCAGCTTGTTAATGTTTTGGCAGACGTCCCATAGAGTAGTGAGTTGCAATAATCGAGCTTTGTCGATGCTATGCTGCATGCCACCATGTTGGCTATGTCACAACTCAATAGCGGTCGAATGTGTCGAAGAGCCCCGATATGAAAACTGCAGGACCCGACTATATTTTGCACGTGGTGATCAAACGACATATTCTGGTCGAGTATGGTGCCGAGGCTCATTAAATGAGTAGAAACAATTATCCTGGAGTAAGCGACCACCGCACCCGATCCTCCCACAATTATTTTCGCCTGAGTGCCAACCAGAAGAACCTCTGATTTTTATGGATTAAAACCATCCACATCCTGTACATGTGAGCACAAAGATAAAGACAAAGATCCCCCGTATAGCCTTAACAGACTGTAGGGGCAAGTGCTGTTAGCGAGCACCTATGAAGGCCGGCATAGCACACGAGGGGGTGGGTGGCCAGCACCACGCCCGGCCGCCTTTGTCTCCCCAGTGGCGATGTTTACACACCGCACCAGGTACTAATTTCAGGCTGAGTCGATCTAGGGGAGACCCAGGACCGCTTCAGATAATCGTCACTGGTGTTGACTGTAGCGCAGCGCGCTAACCGCTACACTACCGCTCCCCACATGTGAACACGCACACAGACACACACACATTCACAACTTCACAGAGGCACATGCACACACAGACATATACACGTGCTTGTGCACATATGCACACATGCTCACACATGCGATTTAGTGATTTCCATGAAACGGAAACACAAAAATTTTATACAAGAATCGATACTCTTTACAAGAACATTGTGGTGAATGTCGAAAATCGAAAAAAATTTGTTTGCACACGCACAATTGTATGCGCGTTATCATGCGTATAATCAATAATAATCAATTAATTGATGCATGATTACAGGCCCACTGCAAATGATAACGTTACAGGAGATGTCATTGGTGACTGCTGATAATGCAATTGACGATGGCAATGAAGAGGCTGCTGCTGTAGGTGCCACACTCTCACCTGGCAGCCATGAGAGGGGGCACGAACAGCATGATGAACAGCGTGGAGCTAGGGCTGAGTCCGGCCTGGGTGAAGCCCAAGTACGAAAGGGATCCAGCCAAGCCGGCCGCCCCCGTGCCCGAGGACCAGAACCGCAGGACAGAGCTGGGAACACACAAGAGATGCATACGGAGATACGTGCACAGGCACGGAAACGTGTGGTGGAGACAACGGAACACCCAGGAAGACGCAGCACTCGCATCCCAAATCACCAGTCATGGGATAAAGCGTGGGCAAGCAGGAGAGACAGTGACGAGATGACACGGACAATCACAAGTGAATCAGCGGGAGACACGGCGGTACAGGGTACACTGGCATATGTGGAGACAAAGCAGAATAGGGGACACACACACATGAAGATGTGGATATGCAAGGCCAAAGTGACAGAGGGAAACATGAGGACAAGCAGGGATATCAGCGGAATAAAGATGGATACAGGGACACTCGAGGAGGAATGGAGATGCGGGAACATGACCGGATGTGGGGACATGTAGGCACAGACAAACAGAGACACATAGGTCGACACAGGGAGGACCCAAGTAGGTATAAGCATACATGGGGGTATGAGGGATGCAGAGACACTAAGCCACAAGGAGACAAATCGATTTTAAGAGATGTGTAGTGGGTCCAACTGAGTCGCAGACGTTGTCTTGGGAGCAACACTAATTATTACATCAACTCAACACACAACATCACACAACCTACACTTGGGTGTTGAACGCTCATCAAACCACGCTACGGCAGAACCACACACGGTCCCGCTATCCCGATCCGGATCACGAGCTGGGTCCCGGATCACGTGGCTAGAGGCTTCTTCAACCCGACGTGGACCTTCATCACCAGCCACAATGAAGAACCCCGAGCCCCTCACGGGGCCCCCGTTATATCCCCCTGGGCTGGGGCTGGCTCCGCCCCTCGCCCCGCTCACCTTCTAGAACTCTCGAGCTTTTCCCCGAAGGATCCCGAGAGCTCTTTTATACCACGTGACCACCCAGCGGCCCCCGTCCACCGGTGGCCCCCCTCCAATATCATCCGGTCACGTGTCGACAGGTCAACCAGCGTATCGTGCCCCAATGTAACCCTGGCTGGCTGACACTTTCTCTCGCTCCCTCACTGGGAACCCGCACCGCAGACTGTACGTGGTGCCTCCGCGCAGACCAGCGCTCACCCAAGCCCCGCTAGGGCTGGTACTATGCCCAGTAACCGAGCTGCACATGACAACACAACATCTGCCATGGCCTCGCAAGCCCGGCACCACACACAGTGACATTCACAGTCACTACAGATGCACAGAAATACATGGAGAGCCAAGCGGACAAATTGAGACACACGGGGACACAAATACAAGGGGACATGCACAGAAACACATCGGGACACATGGAGTCACAAGAGCCGTGTTCACACTTCTGCCTCACAGCTGGAAGGGCCAGGGAGGCTCACAAGGGTAGTATGACCAAATTATATGTCTCTCTCGGAGAGTAGGTCTTCCTTCATGAACTAGTATAGCCAGTGACGTCATGTTAGCATGTGCCGAACACCTCTAGAGGAAGAACAACATGACAGCTGGAGAGAACGCCAGGGACGCTGTTGGTGTTATTGTTTGTGCAGGAGTCATCGCACACGTAATAAACACAACAAGCGATTGTACAACACAAAACAAATGACAAGTAAAACATCACTTCATAAAATAAGACCAACAAATACAATAGATATGACACAATAAGAAAAATCCCAGAAATTATTAAACAAATAAGGCAATAATCTAAATTTTGATTTAAAGCTTTCGTGACTGCAGGGATTCATCTTCTTGGTTCTTTCGGTAAAGTCACGTAGAAGGGAAATAATAAAATAATAAAAATAAAACATAATAAAATAATTCTCACGACGTTTCGGCCACAACGCAAGCAGCCGTCCTCAGGTGAAAACCAGGTCCGTCGAGGCGACAGAGTCGTGTGCTGTTTCATTCAGACTCTGTCGCCTCGACGGACCTGGTTTTCACCTGAGGACGGCTGCTTGCGTTGTGGCCGAAACGTCGTGAGAATTATTTTATTATGTTTTATTTTTATTATTTTATTACTTCCCTTCTACGTGACTTTACCGAAAGAACCAAGAAGGGCAATAATCTAATTAGATTATCTAATTAGATGATTACACCGATATTGCACATCCCTTCCTGTGGAGTCTCGTTTGGACGAGTGCACACCTGTCAACTCCTCATCAGTGCCTACCTCATTACAGACCAATTCAGACCTTATCGGTCACCCCGTGCCCTTATAAATATCAACGTTCATCCTACAAAGTCCCATTACAAGGGAGAAACAGGTCCGTATGCCGTATGGAACTGAAAACTCAAATTCCGTGTACAATAATACGGGTAAACCGTGTGGGTTCACAGGTATGCGATTGTCGGAGGAGATGGGAAGTTTGCCGCCCCCTGGTTTTGTCGGTCTGCATGCTAGGGGATAGTGTTAACATTGCTCAGGAGGGATCACAAAGAGGCACATGGAGGCACAGAGGAAATCGTGGCTATATGGAGACACAGCAATAGGTGGAGACAAATGGAAACGTGGAGAGACAAAGGGACAGGTGGAGACAAAACGGGACACATGGGGACACATGGGAACATGCGGAAACACAAGAAAACATGTTGGGATAGAGAGACACATGGGGACACAATGCATGTCCTGCCAACGCTGCACCAGGGATAGATGTTCAAGCCATGGGGGGAAGGAGTTTGTGAGAGTGTTCACCTCTTGAAGTGAGCAGTGAGACTCAAGAATGTGAGTTCGCCCAACCCCGAAGAGATGCTCGCAAACGTCACACCTGCACATGCCCATCACACGGGAACAGATACGCAGGCAGTAATCATACCCGCCAGCACAGTCTGCTTTGTTAAATCAGCGAGTTAATGCACTTTAAACAAACGTGAGTGGGTAAGTGCCCGCATCTCCCACAGATGAAAGGGCTTGGTTGAATTTCGAAAAAAACTTATCACTAACCCCTAGTATGGCAAACTGCCAAAAGTGAGTTTTGGCACTCTTAGTAGGAAGTTTTTGAAATGTTTATTATGAGACGTATGAGGTGCTGCACATGATGGAAGCATCTAAATTGGCGATGTATCTAGTCAAGGTCACTTTTTTCACTTCAGGTTGATATATGCAAGGTTACAGCTTGAAGGGAATTTTTTTTTTTTTTAAGAAGAGCATCATCTGTGAACTCAGCGGGCACCAAAACCCCCCAGGGGAAAATTTCCCAGCAATATCCGAGATAGTTGGGCAACGGCTCTGATCGAATTGGCATGGAATGGAGCTGGTAATTTACAGCATGGCACTTACAATGTAAATTTTCGTAGTTTGTTGAGCTGTTTCGTTGTTTCGTGAAACAGACAGCATGTGCGTGATAAGCGTCATGAATTGCAAAATTGCTGCGATTCGAAGATTTATGAAAGGCTTATATTGAGTAAACTCCAGATCAAGAACTTCTAAGAAATCTTTATTCTTACTTTAAATACAATAGCAGTTATGGGACAGTGATATTCCTCTATTGCAATATAAGGGATGGATCCCTTGAGACCCCAAACATTGTTATTTTATTGATATTTACCAGAGCAAATGCATTGATTTATATTTTTGTTATAAATGTAGGGCCCTGTTTAAAAAGCTTGTGATCCCAGGATTACCACCCACTCTGAAAACCCGACAAGCCAGTTATGGAGATTGTTTCGCCATTCTTCTCACGCTGGTCATGGTCAGTCTGTGAAGCCAGTCAAGGACCTGGATATCACTCACCACTGATGTTTGAAATGGCAGTGCTAACCACTGTTCCACCACTCCCTAGGTCGTTTACAATGAATACTGTAGCCCATAAGTATAATTCTTGTGAATGCATTAACATAAATGATTACGTAATCAACGTTTTTGGGTTTAGATCGCGTTTATTTATAAATGTGTCGTAACCCTCCACCACCCGACACGGCCAATCAGTAAAAATGTGTCACGTTGACAAAGACAAATAGTTCACTGCTTTAGCCCACCGGTGTGTTGAAGCCACAACATTTACAATTTGAGTACAACGTTTCGCTGGTAATTGCAACCAGCATCATCGGGCAATTCGCCAGAATGGTGAGGCTCTGCTGTCTCCCGTTCTTATATAGAGCAGCAGCAGGGTGACGTCATCATTAACTCATCAACTCATCAGGTGCAAAGATTCAAGGGGGGAGTGATTGTAATTATATACTAGATTAGTAATCAGGCTATTGTTACGATGCGAGTTGTAGATTAGTAATCATTTGGAATGTTTTTTTTTTAAACGCGATCTAAACCCAAAAACGTTGATTATAAATAACATTGGTCGCGAAAGCCTACGTGTTAAAATAAATGATTACGCCCAAGATGCACAGATCACATTTTTTTCACGTGATGATTACATATTTGTACACGTTACTGCAATTGCTGTACAATTGCGAACATTTTAATTCCTGAATTGGAATTGTGATTCTGAAACACAAATATTATTCACTGCAGGGTTAAATATTATGAGCCTACCAAATTTGTATTAGACATTATTTTAGAGTTGTAAGAGTTCTCTGAAGGCTAAAGACTATCAACAATGCCTTTGTTTAGATCTTTGAGAATTATGTAAACCATCCCACTCTGGCCTCCTGTGTCCACCTTTTGTCACCAAGTCTCCCTCTGTCCACTGACATGTCTCTCACCGATGATGCTCATGATGACGCCTTTGGATAGCGCGACGATTAGAAAGCTGGCAGCAGCTGTAAGCACGCAAATAACTACTCGAAACCTGTAACACATGCATGCACATATACAACAATACGTGAAACAAAGTCAGCCACAAAGATCCCCCCCCAGATTGTTGAGGCAAGTGCTGTTAGCGAGCACTTTGTAAAGGCTGGCATGATACACGAGGGGGTGGTTTGGCCAGCACCATGCTCAGGGTATTTGATGGGTTTTTATTTATGCAAATTACACGCAATTATCACGTTAACGTTGCATTTTGATGAAACACGCAATAAAAATGCATAAAGGAGATACCAACAAGGATTATTTCTTACATTTAATCGGTGTGCTTGTCAATTTGACACCACAAGAAATAGTGAAGGGCCAGCCACACAGGGTCACACGGTGTAAAGATCCATCAATTAAACTTGGTTTCCTCACGATATGTACTTCAAGTCGTGCATTTATTATTTTATTCTTCATTAGGATTCACCAAAAATAGCCTCAGTGGGTGTCATGGCTCTTTTTCAGAAGGGTCCTGCCAAGTCTTTGCAGTTTGAGATGATGATTGCTACGTGTAATCTCAAATGAGCAATTTGCAGGTATTTCTTCAAATTTTTGGTCAATTTGGACTATGATGCTGGCACGCAATAGCCCACTTGTGAAGGACATCACATGATCTTTAACGTCCACTGTGAAGCGGAGGTGTATTTTCATAAATAAAAGTAATCAGGGTAGCTGCTGGATTCGAACCGTGAACCCAAGCAAAAAGTGGCAAAAGTGCAAAAAACTAGGCCATGTCACCACCAAAGAATCAATCGATTATTTATGCAAAGAACATTATGTTACATTTGGTTCATGGACAAAATGAGAGAGAACAAATTAAAAACAATAAAATGCAAATATTGATTCTTGATTCAATTTGTAAGTCCAAATTGTGACAATTCATTCAATCGAGGAGAGGGCAATCATTATATACCTAATCAAGGAACACACGCAGGCGTTATGGATTAAATTAACTGGGTCACTGACAGATGGATCACCTGCACTCCCCACTGTGCCAATGCAGCACACACACACACACACACGTGCTCGCACACGATGTCTGAACACAATCACCTGTAGGCAATACGGTGAATGAATAACGGAGCCGTGCTCTTGATGAGCAGTGTTGGTAAAATGTCCGCCAGGAGTATCACCTATAAAACAAAGACATAAAACAGTATTAAAGAAAAATTGCATTAACCAGCTCTTTGCATGCAGATAGGTATGCAGGCTGCACGTTCCATCACTGGATTGATGTGGTAGTAAAACATGTGGGAGTGAGGTAGCAACCACCACACTATAATGGACCACCTAAATGGAACTTCAAAATGTGTATTATCATTAACAAATTTTCACACTCATATGGGACAGCCCAGGACACACAGTCTAGGTGTAGGCTCTACAGGAGCTGTTTGCTTCATCATTGGTCACTGCCATCAACATTCCACAATCAGTATTCACACGCTCAACAAAATGTCTACCACCCCAAAGATGTGACGATGCCAACACCAAGCTAGATGCATACGGAAACCATGAAATTCATAAAAGACTCGGGGGTAGGAGGTCATGGGACAGGACCAAAGTGTTATGGGTTAACAGAGAGAGATGACTGGCAAACGATACCAACTACGCTCACCACCATGCCTAATTGATGTATTGTATGCATCTGATGCTCTGCTCATTGTTGTGACTATCACCCCTACCCCCACCTTCCATTGTTGCTGAAGGGCAACTGCTTTAAAATTCCCAGCAGTGCCTTTCATGACACCCCTGCCTACCCAGGGCACCACTTTAGGAGCAAGTGTAAAGTCCACTTAGCTCCAAGTCTTCTTTGATCATTTCAGCTCGTCCTCTAAGCACAACCCATGCCCATTACCTAACCTTGGTAGTACCTTTGCTACAGAGCTTTCTTTTCAGACTATCCGCATATCAGAAATGTCAACCCTTTTAGCTGCTGAAAACCAAATTCATGATTTAGCTTCCTTATATCTCTTTCTACAGAATTTCAGATGGTCATGAATGCTACCACCAGGCTTCTGACTCAAACCCAGATCTAAGAGCACATACCACATTGTATTTTATTCCTTCACCAAACCCCAATTCAAACTAGAATCGGTTACAAAATCACCTTCACTGCTACTAAGATTTCGATTTAAAGCTTTCGTGACTGCAGGGATTCATCTTCTTGGTTCTTTCGATGATACTATGTAGTTTATACTTTAGTTTTTTACGTGGTGGTTTAGTAACTGCAGCTACATACTATTAACATTCCTTCCCTTTGTTAATGCTGCTAATCCTGCATAATGCACGGGCATAATATGACTTTGAAACCCCCCGCCCACCTCCTACGCATTTCCCATAAATATGCTAAATTCCTCTTGATATGCAGATTATTTTGTCAAGGCGCTCTTCTTCCCCCTCCAACCCAGCTTAAATATACGCTCCAAGCTTGGTGGTGTTTCATTCTTCACCTGAGGACGGCTACTTGCGTTGTGGCCGAAACGTCGTGATAATTATTTTTATTACGTTTTATTTTTTATTATTTTATTATTTCCCTTATACGTGACTTTACAGAAAGAACCAAGAAGATGCTACTAAGATCCGTAATGGTCTTGCTCCGTCGGTCTCTTTCCTCTCATTCTACTCTCATATTTGTACACTTTACTCCAGCAGCTCAGGCCTCTTGGTGAAGACCAAAATCAACCTCAAAATTGTGGGAGGTCTCTTTTCCTCCCCTGCCAGCCCTGGTGTTTGGAATTCTCTCCTCGGGTTGTCGGCGTTGCCGGTCGCCTCTGTAAGTCCCGGCTTAAGGCTTAAGCGTTTCTCCCCGGGCGTAATACTTAAGCTTTCCTTCCCTGGCTGCAAGAATTAGATATGTTATTGCCTCAATCATCACACATCACAAAACAATTCACCATCTACATGGGGTTACAGTGCACATAATGGCTTCTGCGTGGTTTGCCTATCTCAGGGCTTTGTTTATTTTGTCATTTTTATTTTCTGACTCTGCGCAGTTTATGTTAATATGATTGTCCTGAAAAGTGTATTGAGATGTTTAGCTATTTAAATACGATATACATGACGAATATACAACCCAGCCTGAACAGATAGTGACACTTATACATACACACGTGCTCTCTCACCGCAGTTGAGTGTGGGTTGCAGTCAAAGCGGTTGGATGAAATCGGCTCCCAACTCTCAGTATGTGTCTGCAGGAGAAGAATTGACTCATGAGCTCATTAAAATGGAAAAAAAACTCAATACATCTGTAGTGCCTGCCTTGGAGACATAACTTCTTGGAGGCAATTCTTTAATGAAACACCGAGCACACTTTGCACGCTTTATACAATACACACCCTACACTGTTACACACTCTCTGTCTCTCACTTAAATGCAACTCTACACTGGTTACTAGCCTACACACAATGCTAGCCGTCAGACACTACACATCCGTCAATGTGTTTTTCATTTGTGCTTATGTACCCCTGACAGCGCAGTATGACCAAATAATTTATTTCATTAAAATGAGAGGAACTATGGGAAGAGTCCCATGAAACGTGTTGCTTGGAACTGGTTGTTATGCTACAGGGGTGCATCGCACACCGTCGCTGCAGCAATACGGTAGTGTACGGCGGCGATATTGCGTGTGGCAAAGTGAAGGCTTAAGGTGCAGTGTATGGTACTTATTGATGTAAATGAAATAAGGCATATAATAGTGTGCAATTTCATGAATGGTGATAGGTGTAATTTACGGTACTTGTTGTACACAGTATAGCTTGTATGGTATTCCGGCACATGGTAAAATGCATATGGTAGTGTGCTGTTACCGCAGGTGATGTATCGTGCATGAAGCTGCTGCTGCTGCTGCTGTTGTTGGGGTGCGTGCTGTTCCCTGCTTCCTGCTGTTTTAGGATGTCATGGGCAGCGCTCAACATCACCACGTATGCAAAGTTGTTGGTGAGACCCAAGATCCTGTAGAATAGGCATTGAATGTACTTACTTTTCATCGATATAACACCCATTCATTCAACAATTCAGTAATTCACGTACACATTCATTAACAAGGTAAATGGAACAACTCTTCTAAAAGTTCCATATGGGTACAAATGGGAATGGAATGCAAATACTCTGGAGTTGTTCAATTGACTCACCAAAATCCAGCAAAATTCCTCCAGTCTCGCTTTCCTACACACAAACACGACATTCACAATTTGCCAGGTGGCTCATAATGGCTCTGTGATGCCACTAAGCAAGTTTGAGGGCCTGTGCTACACCCCAGATCTGCACATTTCCTTTAGGATGATGGTCAACACCATACTGATACCGCATCTTTAATGTTCCAAAATCCATTTCTTCTGCCTTGCCCATCCTATTGATACTCCCTGCCCCCGCCCCCTAGCTCGGACCAGGCCTACCCTAAACTCTCTTTCACCACTCCCACCTGTCCTCCTGTCACCATAACCACACCAACACTTTTAGCAAACCCACTCCTTATTTTAACCACTACAACCTTACGTATAATTATTGTAAAGCGCCTTGCACTAAGGCGTATTATACAGCTATATAAGATATCTCTAATGTGTTCATAATAGCCACTAAGCCCGTTCATCTTGCAGCCAGCGTTTAAGCCCTGGGAATGAATGCCTTTCTGTTTCAAGGGAATCAAAGCACTAAGGCAAAACCACCGCGTTCACCAACTTGAATCCACATTTTAGTCACTTGTAGAATAAACAAGGTCCTTAATGGGCTCAGCCAGGAACCTAATTCGCAGAAAAACCTACCCCATGTAAAGCTGGTGTTGCATTTTATTCAAGTTGAGCCCAACTCTTGGGGCTCATCAGGCAGATACAACGATTCAACCAATTCACTCACCAATACGGCTGTAGGAAGTGCAGCCTAGTGGCTGTATCGGGTAGAGGACTTAATGGGGTTCTCTGTGTGTCAGATGGAACGGTGTGAAATATTGGCTCATCTTTCCAACAGATGTCAGGTGAGTGGCCAGGAGATCGCAATTTAGAAATTGATTCTTCAGCCTATCTGTGCAGATCTTTCAGCATTGTTGTTTTTCTAGGTACTCCTAATTCCTACCAAAAATAAATGAATCGGTCACATCTCATTGCAGGACCCTCATAAAAACTTGTCTTGTGGGAGGATTTTGTTCTGGGTGAAGGGCATTGTAGTTTTACTATAACAGAATGTTAGTTCTCTGTTCAAACTCGCAAAGTAATAATGAGATTGCGCGTTGGTCAAAATAACCTATGAGCATGAAAGCACAATGTATAAATATTGTAACTCACTTTCGGCTACATTTTCAGCATCGGACACACCAGGAAGGGTTTCAGTTCCTAAAACATTCAACAACAATTAAACAACGGCATGGGTGAGATTGAATAGGTAAAAATAAATCGAAAATGTTCAATACAAAATGTATGAATATGACTCACTGTCAGTACCATTTGCTGCATCAGACACAGCAGGAAGGGTTTCAGTTCCTAAGACATTCAACAAAAAATAAAAAATAAACACTTAGACAATACCTTAAAAAGACAAAGTGTCCCAAAGATAAAATGGGTGCTGGGCAGTGTTAATCTTGATTTGAAGCTTTCGTGACTGCAGGAATCTATACTCTTTGGTTCTTTCGGTAAAGTCACGTAGGTAGAAAAAATTCTTAAAATAAAAATAATCACAACGTTTCGATCGCAACACAAGCGGTCGTCCTCAGGCGGAAAAAATAACCCAGCAGTGGAACTGCTGAACCAGCGAGAGAGCTGTTACAACAAGAGGCTATAAATGTGGCGATGGGCAAGTAAGTGGGGTCTGAGCTGGAAAGGAATTCCATCCCCGGACGCAAGCACTGCAGTTGTGTTGTTACAGCTCGCTCGCTGGTTCAGCAGTTCCACTGCTGGATTATTTTTCCACCTGAGAACGACCGCTTGTGTTGCAATAGAAACGTCGTGATTTTTTTTTCTACATACGTGACTTTACCGAAAGAATCAAAGAATATAGTTTTATCTTCTTTCACAGCCGATCCAGTGGTGGGAATTCCACATTTTTATGGCATAGGCAATTATACCCATAATAAAACTCCTACAGTATATACAAAAGTATCTATGGTACGTACCATCCAATACTCTGTGATAACACTAATTGAAACTTGTAAAATGCAAAGTATGTGGTCACTCTCGAAGAGAGAGAAATTACTCAGAAATGCGAAAGGAGGAACCTCTGAAAAGCGTGATGGCAGCCGCTAGGCGGTGGGCTGGCGCCAACAATTACCCAAGATCTGCAGTCCTCTACATATGAAAGTATTGTTGGACAATTAATGCGTGTTTCACATGTGGGTCGAAACCCGAGAACCAGGAGAAAGGGGGCTCGTCCTCGCCAAAGGATCGTGGAATGTCCATCACTGGTTCTGCAGGGAAGTTACTAGATGAGCATCAACATATCATTGCTAATTTGGGCAGCTCTGTGATTTTTTTTTTTAAATGAGGAAGTATAAATAATAACAAACATCTCTCGTACAGACTTAACAGACTGTTAGCGCAAGAGATATTCGCGAGCACCTATCAAGGCCAGCACGGCACACGAGGGGGTTGGTTGGCTAGCATCACGCCCGGCCACCTTTGTATCCCTAGTGGCACAGGAGTTGACGAGCGTGCATTGATTGATTCAGAATACAGCCTCCATCCAGCAGCGGAGTTGTGCACTGTGACGACGACGACGCATGACGACAGCTCGGTGGTGGTGGTGGTGGACACAGAACGTGTCGGGGAGGGGGCAAGGACCGAGGCCACCATCACCACCACGCGAACTGATGCGCAAACCCGACACGAAGACGACGTCAGCGGAGACGCGAAGTGACATTCACGGCCATGAGCAGCATCAGCAGCAGTAGTAGTAGTAGCAGCAGTAGCAGCAGTAGTAGTAGCAGCAGTAGCAGCAGCATCAGCAGCAGCAGTAGCAGCAGCAGGAGCAGCAGCATCAGCAGCAGCAGTAGTAGTAGCAGCAGCAGCAGTAGCAGCAGCAGTAGTAGTAGCAGCAGCAGCAGTAGTAGCAGCAGCAGTAACAGCAGTAGTAGCAGCAGCATCAGCAGCAGTAGTAGCAGCAGCAGCAGTAGTAGCAGCAGTAGCAGCAGCAGTAGCAGTAGTAGCAGTAGCAGCAGCAGTAGTAGCAGCAGCAGCAGTAGCAGCAGCAGTAGCAGCAGCAGTAGCAGCAGTAGCAGCAGCAGTAGCAGCAGCAGTAGCAGCAGTAGCAGTAGCAGCAGCAGTAGCATCAGTTCCAGCAGCAGCAGTAGCATCAGTCGCAGCAGCAGTAGCAGCAGTAGCAGCAGCGGCAGTAGCAGTAGCAGCAGTAGCAGCAGCAGTAGCAGCAGCAGTAGCAGCAGTAGCAGTAGCAGCAGCAGTAGCAGCAGTAGCAGCAGTAGCAGCAGCAGTAGCAGCAGCAGTAGCAGTAGCAGCAGCAGTAGCAGCAGTAGCAGCAGCAGCAGTAGTAGTAGCAGCAGCAGTAGCAGCAGTAGCAGCAGCAGCAGTAGCAGTAGCAGCAGTAGCAGCAGCAGTAGCAGCAGCAGTAGCAGCAGTAGCAGTAGCAGCAGCAGTAGCAGCAGTAGCAGCAGCAGCAGTAGTAGTAGCAGCAGCAGCAGTAGCAGCAGCAGTAGCAGCAGTAGTAGTAGCAGCAGTAGCAGCAACAGCAGTAGTAGCAGTAGTAGCAGCAGTAGCAGCAACAGCAGTAGTAGCAGTAGTAGCAGCAACAGCAGTAGCAGTAGTAGCAGTAGCAGCAGCAGCAGCAGTAGTAGCAGTAGCAGCAGCAGTAGCAACAACAGCAGTAACAACAGTAGTAGCAGCAGTAACAACAACAGCAGCAGTAACAACAGCAGCAGTAGCATCATCAGCAGCAGCATCATCAGCCGTCGTTACCGTCGGCGTCGAGGCGATGGGGTTGGATCGTGTCCATTGCCGCGTCTCTCTCTGCGGCTGTGCGTCACGCCACCACGGGAGACTGCCTTGAGATCTCCACCACCACCAAGACGACCACCACCACCACCACCACGACCACCACCACCACCACGACGACCACCACGACCACCACCACGACCACCACCACCACCACCAAGCGAGCTCAGCCCACACAGGAACCACGACGACCCTAAACACTGCGCATCGATTCCCCGGAGCCCCTCGATCCGAGGCGAACAAATCGTCGCGTTCCTGGATCGAGAAATGTTGAATTTCGATTTAAAGCTTTCGTGACTGCAGGGATTAATCTTCTTGGTTCTTTCGGTAAAGTCACGTAGAAGGGAAGTAATACAATAATAACAAGTAAACCCGTAAAAACAAAGTTTTTCACTCGAAATCCTTTATATGCGTGGCGGCTAGAGTTCTCTCGTCCTCTGACTTGAGATGGCTGCAATCTATGGGTCAGATGATTGCAGTATTAAGCAATTGGTAATTAAATATGTAATTTGTTTTCCCTAAACAGTGTAACATTTTAGAGAAAAAAAATTCACGAAAATTAATTGTCACACACAACGAGTCTGTGTGGAAAATGTCAGCTCGATTGGATCACGGGAAGTGGGCTAAAAAACGAGCGAAAGATTTGCACGGTCCTAAGCAAGCAAGCGAACTTAATATAAAGGATTTAAAAATATATTCGCCTGTGGAGGACGCGGGGATCGATCCCGCGACCTTTGGCATGGGAAGCGAGGGCACTACCAACTGCGCTACTCCGCCACGGCCTGTGGAGGGGTTACGCTCTGGGCTCTTACACTCTGACGTTCAGCCAAAGCCATGAATGCGTTCTATTTGAATATATGTAAAATAAATTTTTTTTGCCTAAAAAGTGTAAAATTTTGGGAATTTTTTTTCACGAACAATAATTGTCTGGCACAAAGAGTCTGTGTGGAAAATGTCAGCTCGATTGGATCACGGGAAGTGGGTTAAAAAACGACCGAAAGATTTGCACGGTCCTAAGCAAGCAAGCAAGCACGCGAACTTAATATAAATGATTTATAAGTATAACCCGTAAAAACAAAGTTTTTCACTATAAATCCTTTATATGCGTGGCAGCGAACTTAATATAAAGGATTTAAAAATATATTCGCCTGTGGAGGACGCGAAATCGAATCGTTCTATGAGCAACTAACCAACACGCTGAAGCCGCTGAAGAAGCAAGACATCACTATAATCCTCGGCGATTTCAATGCCAAGGTTGGCCACGGTCGAATGCAGAACATTGTCGGAGAACACGGACTAGGAACAAGGAATGAACGAGGCGACAGACTGGTTCAATTCTGCCAAGAAGAACGTTTCAGTATTGCTAACACGTGGTTCCAATTACCACCTCGACGACTGTACACGTGGACCTCGCCGCAAGACTCCGACAACAACATCGTCAGGAACCAAATCGATTATATCCTAATTAACATCAGGTTTAAGTCCAGTGTGATTACAGCAAAAACCTACCCTGGAGCCGATATATCGTCAGATCATAACCCAGTAACAGCTACAATAAGACTCAAATTGCGATCAATACAATGTACAAAGACGAGACGAGCAGACCTGGAGAAACTGAAGAACAGCGCCGATAAAAGACAAGTACAGCAACATCTCAACGATAGCATCCGCTCAATAACAACAGAAACAGCAGATGTTCAGGAGTACTGGCGCTCGTTCAAACAATGCATCACAGAAACAACAGAAGTCATGCTGGGACATCAGCCACCGAAAAAGAAACAACGATGGATGACATATTGTATTCTCGATCTAATGAGCCAACGAAGAATATACAAAAACAACAACTTGGAGAAGTACAAACAAATGCAACAGAAGATCAGAGAAGCAATCCGACAGGCAAAAGAAAAGTGGATGGAAGAACAATGCGCCGAGATGGAAGAACTAATTAAAAAACATGACAATTTTACTCTGCACAAGAAGCTCAAAGAAGCTGGTAACATCTACAGACCAGCCCCAACAGCTACCTTGTATGCGGACAACAACCAACCAATCCTAAATAAACAAGAAAAAATGGACACCTGGACAAACTATATACACAAGCTCTATGGCGCCATGAGAACACCTGCAGAAAAAGACCAACAGATGTCGAAAGACGCTCTACACATTTTAACATCAGAAGTAGAACATGCAATCAAAACAGCTAAGTCAGGCAAAGCGTGCGGGCCCGACACAATCCATGTAGAATTGCTCAAACTATTAGACAGTAACAACATACGACAACTGACTAATTGGTACAATCAAATATACATTGGCAATAAAATTCCATCCGACTGGCTACAATCCATTTTTGTGGCCATACCAAAGAAAGCAACAAGCCGGAAATGCGAGGACTACAGACTTATAAGCTTGATGAGCCACGTGCTGAAAGTCTTCCTGAAGGTGATCCAACAGCGCATACGCTCCACATGCGAAAATGCATTGAAGAACACACAGTTTGGCTTCTGCAAAGGACTAGGCACAAGAGAAGCAATCTTCTGTCTACAGATACTACTACAGCGATGCTACAAACATCAGAAAGAAGTGTACATCTGCTTCATAGATTACGAGAAAGCCTTTGACTCAGTCGACCACGGCCGACTAGCAGCTCTATTAAAACAACTGGGACTAGATAAAAACGACATCAACTTCATCATTGCTCTTTATTGGAAGCAAACAGCCCAACTCCGATATGACAACGAATTGACAGACCCAACACCAATACAAAAAGGTGTACGACAAGGCTGCCCACTTTCACCCAGTCTTTTCAACATCTACTCGGAGCAGATTTTTGATCGAACACTAGCAGATAAAAACATTGGTATTAAAGTCAATGGACAATACATCAACAACATCAGGTATGCCGACGACACTGCACTGCTGGCCGATTCGGAACAAGACCTACAACAAATCTTGGACGAGGTTGCCACAGAGAGTCAAATATGGGGCTTACGAATTAATAAAAAGAAAACAAAGGTTATGAAGGTCAGCCGAACTACAAGCAAAATAACAATCAAGCTTGGCAGCGAAAAATTGGAACAAGTACACCGATTTAAATACCTTGGTGTAATCATTGACGATCAGTTGAACCATGAAGTCGAAATCAAGAGCAGAATTGAACAAGCAAGGCAAGCATTTATTAAATGGAAAACACTCCTTGCAGACCGCAACTTGAGTACATCACTGAAACTGCGCACACTGAAATGCTACATCTGGTCAATTTTGCTGTACGGAGTAGAGACGTGGACATTGACAACAACAGCAACAAAAAGGCTCGAAGCTTTCGAGATGTGGCTGTATCGAAGAATGCTGAAAATCCCATGGACAGCCAAAACCACCAATACACAAGTTCTGCAAGATATGGGCACTGACAGGCAACTGCTGAAGACCATCATTAGCAGGAAGTGTTACTACCTAGGCCACATTGCCCGAAACGACCACAAATACCAGCTATTAAAGCAAATCCTGGAAGGAAAAATCGAAGGGAAAAAACGACCAGGACGGCCAAAAACGACATGGCTCAGTAACATCAAAACATGGCTACAATTAACAACAGCACAAACTCTACACGCCGTGCTAGACCGGGACCAATATCATCGTGAAGTCACACACGCCGTTAGGCAGCACTAAAGAAGAGAAGGAGGACGCGGGGATCGATCCCGCGACCTTTGGCATGGGAAGCGAGGGCGCTACCAACTGCGCTACTCCGCCACAGCCTGTGGCGGGGTTACGCTCTTGGCTCTTACACTCTGACGTTCAGCCAAAGCCATGAATTAGTTCTATTTGAATATATGTAAAATAATTATTTTGCCTAAAAAGTGTAAAATTTTGGGAATTTTTTTCCACGAACAATAATTGTCTGGCACAACGAGTCTGTGTGGAAAATGTCAGCTCGATTGGATCACGGGAAGTGGGTTAAAAAACGACCGAAAGATTTGCACGGTCCTAAGCAAGCAAGCAAGCACGCGAACTTAATATAAAGGATTTAAAAAATAAAACATCATTCTCACGTTTCTGCCACAACGCAAGCAGCCGTCCTCAGGCTGCTTGCGTTGTGGCCGAAACGTCGTGAGAATTATTTTATTATGTTTTATTTTATATTATTTTATTACTTCCCTTCTACGTGACTTTACCGAAAGAACCAAGAAGATGGACCGCAAGTTGGTTCACCTGCGGCACGAAAGCTCTGCTGCTGGCCGCATTCATTAATTGGCCGATGACAGCTTAATATATAGAGGACCGCAGAGCTTGGGTGATTGTTGCTGCTGCTGCTGCTGCCGCCTTCCCCGCTTGCCTGGGATTCCTCGCATTCCTCGCCACATCTCGGAGTCTTCCAGTCGTCTAAATCAAGATTATGATAAAGATTCTGTGCCTGATGCTATCGGCTTATCTCACATTAAATCAGCATGGATGTTGATTCCTCTACAGGCCCCGCCTACTCTTCTGTTAGGCCCCGCCTACTCATCCTTTAGGCCCGCCTACTCTTCATTTAGGCCCCGCCTGCTCTTCCTTTAGGCCCCGTCTACTCTTCCGTTAGGCCCCGCCTACTCTTCCTTTAGGCCCTGCCTACTCTTCCTTTAGGCCCCGCCTACTCTTCCTTTAGGCCCCGCCTGCTCTTCCTTTAGGCCCCGCCTACTCTTCCTTTAGGCCCCGCCTACTCTTCCTTTAGGCCCCGTCTACTCTTCCGTTAGGCCCCGCCTACTATTCATTTAGGCCCCGCCTACTCTTCCTTTAGGCGCGGCCTACTCTTCATTTAGGCCCCGCCTACTCTTCATTTAGGCCCCGCCTACTCTTCATTTAGGCCCCGTCTACTCTTCCGTTAGGACCCGTCTACTCTTCCTTTAGGCCCCGTCTACTCTTCCTTTAGGCCCCGCCTACTCTTCATTTAGGCCCCGCCTACTCTTCCTTTAGGCCCCGTCTACTCTTCCTTTAGGCCCCGCCTACTATTCATTTAGGCCCCGCCTACTCTTCCTTTAGGCCCCGCCTACTCTTCATTTAGGCCCCGCCTACTATTCATTTAGGCCCCACCTACTCTTTCTTTAGGCCCCGTCTACTCTTCCTTTAGGCCCCGCCTACTATTCATTTAGGCCCCGCCTACTCTTCCGTTAGGCCCCGCCTACTCTTCCTTTAGGCCCCGCCTACTCGTCCTTTAGACCCCGCCTACTCTTCCTTTAGGCCCCGCCTACTCTTCATTTAGGCCCCGCCTACTATTCATTTAGGCCCCACCTACTCTTTCTTTAGGCCCCGTCTACTCTTCCTTTAGGCCCCGCCTACTATTCATTTAGGCCCCGCCTACTCTTCCATTAGGCCCCGCCTACTCTTCCTTTAGGCCCCGCCTACTCGTCCTTTAGACCCCGCCTACTCTTCCTTTAGGCCCCGCCTACTCTTCCTTTAGGCCCCGCCACCTTCCTCTTTAGGCCCCGCACCTTCCTGCTTCACAAAAACCCTCCACACATTCGTCAATGACATTGTGGATCTTAAACGGAAGTAAAAAAAGCGACGCTTCCAGCAATGATCCTTCATACAGCACATAGGCACGTGTGTGCTAGGCCATTGCTCGAAACGTCGCCTATTACAGGATATACTTTTCCTTTGTGTTGTATTGTACCGCTTTTTCTTCTATTTCTTCTGTGAATGCGTTTTTTTCCTTCCACGAATTTCTATTTGCTAAACTGCTGTACAAGAACACGGTATTGCTTTTGACATTTAAGAGACCCAGGTGTTCTCTTGCAAATTAGACTTCGTTGTGGCCTCTGCAAGAGGTCCCCCACCTGGCAAAACAAACCCAACTTTAAACTTCAACCCACAATCGATTAAATTCGTTACTCGCTTCCCTGTCGGTGGAATATCGAGAAATCGAATAGTTCATTGAACCTATCGATTCGATTCCCCCCACCCCCCCCCCTATAAAAAAGAATCGATTCCTATCGTGGCGTGTCAGCTGATCGCGCGCACACACACGCGGAAGTTCCGTCAGTGGGTCTCTCCACGGTAAAGAATCAACGTAGAGCGGCGCATTTCAGTTCCTACAAAACCCCCACACAGCCTCTTGACGAGTGAAGGATGTCATCAGCATTTATTTAACAAACTGGAACGGTTACTACTACAACAAAGATCCCCCGTATAGCCTTAACAGACTGTAGGGGCAAGTGCTGTTAGCGAGCACCTATGAAGGCCGGAACGGTACACGAGGGGGTGGGTGGCCAGCACCACGCCCGACCGCCTTTGTCTCCCCAGTGGCGATCCTTTTACACGCCGCGCCAGGTACTCATTTTAGGCTGAGTCGACCTCGGGAAAGCCCAGAACCGGTTCAGATAATCATCACTGGTGTTGGGTCGTGAGTGGGAATCGAACTCGGCTGGCCGGGTTTGTAGTGCTAACCGCTGCACCACCGCTCCCTCCACACAGGATCCCATCAGCAGCGGTCGTGTCTGCTTGCGTTAATGCTGCCGAATCACCAGACGTTACAGGGAAGGCATCTCTTAAGATATGGGTCCTAATTCGGCCCGAAAATAAATAGAACAGAGCACAACAAATTATTCCGGAATAGATCCACCAAACTTGTGATTATATTCTGGAATGACACCCATTGTATGATCGGTATCACAGCATAATCATGAGCGTCGTTCAGAATATAAGTAACAAAATAATCAGACAATAAGCCTCGTTCAATGTCCCGCCACATTCAAAAGTAATTATTAGTTTGTGTTATGTATTCGTTTTCCGTCTAACTTGGGTCCTTCTGGATGTTGATGATTGGGCAACGAAAGCCTGATGAACACTGAATTTCAAAACCGGTCCAGACATTGCTTGTTAAAATGCACTAACAGATTGTGTGCATGCTCAAAATACGTGCATATATTTAAGATGTTGTGTTCATATTGTTTGTTGCGGTTGCACCCGACTTAAAAACCGCATGACTCACAGGGCTATACTGTACCGAATAGATGAAACTAGATATGTGAAGGCGTCTGCATTTTTTATTGGAGGCGACGTCTCCAGATAACCCAGGCGGCACGGCAGACATTGCCCGACCCTTAACGTTTCTCATGTTTACATTTATAAACAGGAGGGGAAAGGGTGGGTCGTGGTGCCGCAGTGTTTAACGCACGATCAATCATAAAAGAATAAAGTAATTCTGGTTCATCGGTCCCGCTCCATTTTCAATCGCCGTCAAGACTCGGTATTTATCGTCTGCCGTGCTACAGCCGTGTCATTCCCAACATCCCCCCCCGTTTCTCAGGGAACGTGGACATGACCTTTGTTGTGCACGCGTCACTGGGCTTCAACGGTTTAAGTTCAATTATTTATCAACAAGGTTATGGCATCACATGTAACGTCTCATTACACATGGCACATAAAAAAAATATCATTTTCTAAAGTTTAAGGTCGAGTGTCCCTGGGACCAGGTCTGCCTTGCCTGGTTCCCCTGCGTGCGTTTTTTTTCCAGAAACTCAAGCTCAAAAATAAATCATGAAAGCAGTGGGCCACACATTAAAAAAAAATCTTCAAAAAGACTTCAAATTCAATAGGGTTTCTTAAATAAAACACATTATAAATAACTAGTACACAAAGCTCGAACACATTTCTAATATTAACATCAACAAAATGTACAGTCAAGTTTCAATTAAAAAAATCAAGTGAGAGTATGATGACAGATCTGCAAATGTCAATTGTGCAGCAGAGGAATGAATACAGCTCCAAGTCGACATAAAACGTGTCATTTAGTCACATAATGCACTTGATCTTGGTTTGAAGTTGATTGGATATAAGGAATATTCTAGTCATGGTGTGTGGATTATGAAAGTGTTTCAACAGAAAAGTGTGTCGCCTTAAGAGTTTCAAATGTTACAGCCATACATGTCACGTGAAACATATCTAGCAACACGATTGTAAATCAGGTTCGAAAGCCAGTTTTATCAGGGAGAAGAAGAGTTATTTTTCAAGGGAAACAACATTTTTATCTTGTTTTGAAGATTCTATGAGATTGGTTGCTGTGGCTGGTAGTTTCTGATATTTTCACTTAAATATTAGTCTCTTTAAGTCAACTATAATTAATGACAAATCCAAACATAAATATAAGAGACCGAGATGGCAGAATTCATGCCCCAGATTCTCCAACAGACATGCCTGCCTATGTTAAAGATAATCATGAGCCATTGTGACCATTCTCCCACTCCTCACCACGCCAATCTCTCTTCTTCTGGTGCCTTAACCTGTGCAAGGGACGAGAGAGAGAGACACACGTGGCAGCAATGATATAATGGTGTGTACATTTTGATGTCAATGATATAGATGGTGTCAGTGATTATGTTGATTAAATATATGGTATTGATTGCATCAATGACATTGGTGGTATTAATGGTGGAGGCAATGTTTGTGATGGTGTTGATGCTTTCATCACTGATGGTGTTTACTGTTGTAATTGATGGTGTTGATGGTGTTGATATTGTTGGAGATGTTGTCAATAATGGTGATGAAGTTGCTCATGATTGAATTGCTGTTTTTGTCAGTGATGGTGTTGATGTTTTTGATGATGGTGTTGATGTTTTTGATGATGGTGTTGGTGGTGTTGATGTGTCGGTGATGGTGTTGATTTTGTTTATTGTGCTGATTAAGCTGGCGATGGTGTTGATGATGTAGATGTTGTTGGTGATGGTGTGGATGGTGTTGATGTTGGTATTGTGGGTGATGGTGTTGATGGTTTGGATATTGTTCGTGGTGTGGATGCCATTGTTGGCGATGGTGCTGATGTTGTGGGAGATGGTGTTATTGGTGTTGATGTTGTTGGTGATGTTACCGCTGGGGGCCACGCCTGCCCGTGTTCCAGGCATTGCTGAATTGCGGGAGCCACGCGGGATCACTGGCGGCGGCCAAGCGGTCAAACGTGGCCCCGACACGGCCGGGAGGGAGAGGCGTCTGGCGTGACTGAGCACCTGGGTAGACACACACACCAACATACGCTATCAGATATACACACACACACACATAACCACACATACCACAACCTGTATGTACATACAATTTTATATATAGACAAATATATTTGCACATAAACAAAGCTGGAAATATAGTTTTAAATACAATGGAGGTTTCTCTTTTCAGCTGTACAAATAAAATGGGCAAGATCAAGTTTATTTTAGTTAACCAGGTGAGAACTCAAGAGACCAGGAAAGTCTCATTGGCAAAAGTGAATAACAAAAGCAAAACAATTTAGAGTAAATAATGAAAATACAACGAGCAAGGTGAAAATGATACAGCCACATGAAAACAATGAAGTGCAATAGGCTAGCAAAAGAGAGGGTATAATATCTTGATTTGAAGCTTTCGTGACTGCAGGAATCCATACTCTTTGGTTCTTTCGGTAAAGTCACGTAGGTAGAAAAAATAATAGATCACGACGTTTTGATCGCCACACAAGCAATTGTCTTCCTCTCTCTCTCCCACCTACCTACATGACTTTACCGAAAGAACCAAGGAGTGTGGGTATAATAATTGAATTACATGGGAAAAACCGAGGGGCACTCCTCGAAAAAGATGGAGTGCAATGTGCAGTAAGTAGAAGATCGTGGCGAGAACTCAAGAGTGGTAGGTCAATGTGGAAAAGCTATGCACGCTGACCAATCCAGTGACATGCTCAAGCGGAGGAAGAAGATGACTTAAAGTTTGTTTAAAATTTTAAGCTTTTCCATTTGTTTCATTCGTCAGACGAAATTTCTCAAGGGTTCATTCTCAGCTTTGGATTATATTGCACTAACTGGCACCTAATGTTGTTTATTGGTTAAGTCAGCTCAACTATCACTCACGGTGATGGAGGAAGGCCTCATATGAAGGCCCGATGACAGGTGCCTTCCCATTCCTTTGTTCTTTGGTGTCACCATCGCCGCCACCATCACCGCCATTTGTGCCACCACCATCGTCATCCATTAGCCAAGGAGGCGTTGCACCTATTGAGGAAAAAAAAACAATTAATGTCGTAATTAAAACATATTTACGTACCTAAACAGGCTTAACAGATCACCAAGCCTCTTTATCAGGACAGGCCTACTAGGTAAGTTTGCTCAAACACTTGCTGAGTAATGTTTTGCTTTACATTGGAGGACAGGACTCATGTGCCAAGCAGATACTAACACACTTAGGAAGTGACACTCAAGAATCCACAAATATTGGTGAGAAATCTTCTTGGTCAACTACCAGCACCCTAGTTGCCTCGATGTGTTCTCTGGAAGCTGAGAATGGCAAAAGGGGCAATGAACCAGCACAACTAAGTCTTGAGTTCAATTCCTGGAGCTGGGAGCCACTTGCTTAGACATGTAACAATGTGTGAATGCAGAGTAATAATTATGCATATAGTCATGATTGATGCACTAATAAGAGTGTGACAACAAAATATATATTCATGTTAAACGCAACATTGCATTTAGGGCTAATCCAGTAACACAATTATACAAATGAGACAAAGCGATTGGAAACAATACAAGCATGGTAAAAACAAGATAAAAACAATTATTGAACCAAATCAAGACAACGAATTGTGATAATGTATCCAAGTACTAATGGCAGCGAGTGAATGCATGTGTATTTTTATAGTAAAATCGCAAAATGGCCGCATTATGATCCTGGTTTCAAACCCTGGAACTGAATATAACTGTCCAGACGCTAACCGTAAGAGTGGGACATGCTAGCGTAAACATTGTAAACAAAACTAGGATATAACAATACAATCACAATGCAAGAGATATGTCACCTGTATGGATGTTTCCCCTGGGCTTCTCAACCACCTGTCAATAGCAACAACAACAACACATGTAAATCTTCCATCTGGTGTGCTGTGCATACATCCTGGAGCCTAGTTTACTGTTAATGTAGACTTTAGTACAAAGGTAAATATGGATATTGTTGAAAGGCATGGAAGCATCCAGTCATTACTTACAGATACAACACGCAGGGCAGGAAAACATAGTGGTCCGTACCCAGACAATTGGGCAAGATAATGTCTAACCGCCAAGGATAAGAACCTGCTGCATAGGCAAGATCTCTTCACCTCAAAAAAAAACCAGAGATAAAGAAAACAAAAATGAAAACATACAATGGCAGGAGAGAAAAAAAGCCAGCGCAGAGAAAATAGGGAGGCAAAACCCCGCCCTCTCTTTTCGGTGCGAGTTGAGGCGGGACGGCCCTTAATATGATCTCAAGACGGCCCCCGATTGATACCCAGAGCCAGGCCCTACAAAAAAACAGACTCTAGTCGGGTCTGCTGCGTGTACAGCCTGTAATCAGGTCTGCTCTGTAGAGCCCGCTGTTTGGTTGGTTGAGGTGCCAGGAAGTCGGTGTCGAACACAATTCCCCATACCTTGTGGACATGAGTGGACATGGGTCCTGGAGAATCTGATGCGTGCAATTCAGACTGTGCACTGCACAGATATCCAGGCCATGGGGAAGACAAAAGACACATACAAATATGGCTCATAGTGGCACACAAAGGCAAGGGCCTTATCAATAACAATTATTGCAAGCAGAGGTGAAGAAGTCACTTATCAAGGCTGGTCAGTGGGTTAACCAGATGATCAGCCAGCGACCAGGCAGGCAATCAAGCAGACAGCCAACATTCATTAACACAAATTAATAAGGTAAGTGCTTTTTATCCATATCTCATACTGCATTTCAAAGTCCTAGGCCAACAGACATAAGCATACAATTTCAAGCTCATTTGAGACAGTCCAGAAAACATAACCATGGCAGCTTTTTACGAGAGCTGTTTGCGTTTTGTGTTCCATCATATTTTCAAAGGCATACTGACAACGTTCAGAACCAACCCATGGCTGCAGCCAGAGTAATGAGCCTTTTGCCTCATTTCTAAGCCCGACGGGAACCATACTGGCCAGGTGCCAGCTCCGAGCTGGACCAGGAAGCCAGCCTGCACACAGCAGCTGAAACGGACACAACTAATCCCATGGAGTTCTAAAGCTGGCTGGTGAGATCCCTTATTTTGACAAATTACACATTTTTACTCGGGCAGATCCAGGAACCGGTCGTGACATCACGTGTATGGGAGATTTCCTTTGCCATGACGTTATGATGTTCCTTGCTTAGTTAAACTTCCTGGTTGTGTTTTGTTAAGAACGTATGGCTGAATATTACAAATCAAAATAGATTTTAAATTAAACTAGTTTAATGTTACCAATGTTGTAGCGTGGTTGTGTAAATGGTTATCACACTTCTCAACAAACCCAACAACCTGAGTTCAACTTCCGGCTACCATTTACTATCACTGGTTAGTGAACTCATCCTGGGAACCCTTTAACTAACCAAACAATCAACCCCTATGACAGATGGCAAGGGGAGTACTTCATATATGAGTGAACTAACGTGGCTGTAAAAAAATAGCGTTTTTGTATTGGCTTAATGTTTAGCATTAAGATTGATTTCATTGCTAAATGTCAATCATGAAAATGTAGCTTCATTATGTTCTCATTTGGCTTTAAAAAGTCTGCTTTGACGAAACATACCAATCTTGGACCCTCCTGAAAATAATTCTTTAGACTCAGTGAGACTTTCCTGGGTAAATAAACTACGTATCAAGAGGGAGTCTGAGCATACCTGGGATCCATTGAACTCAGTGGAGTCACTCCTGGCCAGTCCTGTAACAAACACAAATACATTTACATCCACGCCACTAACACATATATGTATAATACATGCACTCAATACACAAGCAAACTCTTAAACCACCACATCGTCAGAAACCTCGTTGCTGTTCTGCCTCCTAAACACTTCCCTAATAGCCCAGCAGGTGGACATCTCATACACATTACCAGTATCATGGTCAGAGCCGATTCAACAATTTTCAGCCACCAACAGCCCGTGGCTCAAGAGTGGTTCAGCTGAAGGTGTGAAGTACCACTACCACCACAAAGGAGACTTGGTAAATGAGCTTGCATCCAGCTCAGTAAAGTCAATTTTGTTAAGGAAGGCACTGGCGTTGCTTACAGGGCGTTTGGTGAAAGTTTACATGTGTAAAGGAGCTCCGTTGAGACGTTCATAAATATTCGATATTTCTTCTCGTACGAGGACTACTCCAGTGGAGCCACCAACTCGTCTTCAGCCCATCTAGCGCCCCAACCTCGGCGACGCTCCATTTTTAAATCCTTTATATATTAAGTTCGCTTGCTTGCTTAGGACCGTGCAAATCTTCCGGTCGTTTTTTAACCCACTTCCCGTGATCCAATCGAGCTGACATTTTGCACACAGAGTCGTTGTGCGTGACAATGCATTTTCGTGAAAAAAAAATTCAAAAATTTTACACTGTTTAGGGAAATTTTTTTAAATATTTAATTACCAATTGTTTAATGCTGCCAGACAATCATCTGACCCATAGGTGGCAGCCATCTCAAGCCAGAGGACGAGAGGACTCTAGCTGCCCCGATGCCACGCATATAAAGGATTTATAGTGAAAAACTTTGTTTTTACGGGTTATACTTGTTATATCTCTCTCCCGACCCCTAATTACCTACCACCGGTCGCCTCTTTCTACAGTGCCTTTCTCTCCGGATGTTAGATATCCAGTCACCTGTGTTTACAACGTGTTGTATTTTATAACTTCCCTATACAGTCCCCTACAGTATTTCATCAATTTCCTGTGTAGTCCCCTATACATGTGAACCCAACAGTTACCTCGCTCAGCGATGACATCAGCTCCTGTCTCTTCTTTTCTTGCTGCCTGATTAATTCAGCCTCCTGAAAAATAAAATATCCATCCTCTTCAGCCCTATACACTTTGTAGGACAAGGGCTGTTAAGAGATTCCCTATTATGGCCACAAGGGGGTGGTAAGAGGCAGGACCATGTACACTCAGTGCTGATGTTTATGAGCCGACTATTGCACCAGGTATTTATTTTAGTATGAGTTTACCTAGGGCAGGTACTGATCAGCTTTAGATATAACACACACATTTACAGCACCAACGTTTTGGAACAACCTTGTTTCTGACATTAACATAATAAATCTTCCTTCAAAAACATTTTGCAGCAGAAGATTAGTGCCAGATACAGCCACATTTGCCAAACTGATTTGTAACTTTGAACCTTACCCATGTATCGATAGTTAAATTTTAACGTGCAATTTAATTAAAGGAATGTGTGTTGTCTTGGTGTGGTCTCGGACTATTTTTGTTTTTCTGCCATGCTCAAGCTTGCATTTGGTGTTGACAAATTGGAATTTATATTCTTGTGGAATTTTTACTTTTAATAATACATATCTATTTTACACTCATTCGCCTTTGTATTTTTTGTTGATGTAACTCGCTGACTCGCCCCGACTGGGCGTCTTTGAAAAAAAGAGCTGCATAGCTCATCAGATTCTTCCAGGATAAATAAAGTTTCTGATTCCGATCAACAGATATAATCAAATGAATATACCATTCATACAGCGACAAACACAGGTACATTTCCACAAACTTAATTTAACTAATGAAGTTAATGATATAATTAATGTCTGCCCAATTCTACAACACCTGGTATTCCCAGGCAGTTTGCCAACCAAGTACTAAGCACTCAATTCTGCTTAGCTTACAAGTTCTGGCAATATTGGGCACATTTAGGGTGCTTTGGTCATGGGACAAATCACCCTGTTTGTGTTGATTGTATGTATTTATATTACTGTACCTCTTTGAGAAGTCTCTCCTCTTCCTCTTCGAAGGCAGACAGAGCTAAACCCGCAGCCGTTAGGAACCTGAATTCAGACATCCAGCTTAACATCCCTCCCCACAGACGACACGCTCAGAAGTGTTTACCACGACGCTTAACAACGCAAAAAAACTATCACCACTTACAGGCCACTTGCACTACCGCTAGACCACCAGCACGACCTCTAGAGCCACCCAGCACTACTGCTGGATCACCAGCACTACCGCTAGACTACCCAGCACTACCACAGGACCGCCAGCACTACCTATAGAACTTCCCAGCACTACTGCTGAATCACCAGCACTACCGCTAGACTACCCAGCACTACCACAGGACCACCAGCACGACCTCTAGAACCACCCAGCACTACTGCTGGATCACCAGCACTACCGCTAGACTACCCAGCACTACCACAGGACCACCAGCACTACCTCTAGAACCACCCAGCACTACTGCTGAATTACCAGCACTACCGCTAGACCACCAGCACTACCACTGGACTACCCAGCACTACCACTGGACTACCCAGCACTACCACTGGACCACCAGCACTACCACTAAACCACCCAACACTACCGCTAGACCACCAGGACTACTGGTAGACCACCCAGCACTACTTTTTGACCACCCTGTGTTAGATCTAGACCACCAAGCACACTTTTTATATCACTTAATGCTACCTCTAGACTACCCAATATCACTAGATCATCCAGTGATTCGTCTTAACCAGTCAGGTGAAGGAATCGTACTTATTACACTGCATGGGGGTGATGAGGTAGTTTTTCTTTAGTCCTTGATCCAGGTGATTTTCCTTCCAGTAACGGTGGATGCTCCGCTCATGATCTGGGCTGTGTCAGGAAAGGCGTGACCAAACCACAAACATTCACCTGTTAATAAGCAGCGTCTCTTCCAGAAAAGCAACAGCAAGCCAGACATAGTGACATTATAGCTTGCGTAATGTCACTACGTCTGGCAAAAATCATTACACTTCCATTTGCATTATTGTAGTTTCATATTTAGAGCCTGTAATATACAAAGGGTCACACTGATATGTTTATGATTCTTAATGTTACATGTTTAAGCCAGAAACTCATACACCAGTATGAACAGCATAAAAACTGTGGAAAACAACTTTACATTAGAACATACACACACCTAAAAATATTCATTCATCAAAAGCTGCTATTTAACACAAAATGAGAGTGACAACACCAATGTGCCAAATCCCACGTGACAGGTGCCAGTTTGCAATGCCACCCCCTCCCAGTTTTCCTTGCCTCTTGTGCCTTAGTGTGCCTTGTCAAACTCGATCAGGTGTTGCAGGGTGTTATGTTCTATTGTATCTCCGTGTCCCCTGTGTTCCTACAGTACGCTCCCAATTTTGTCTGTGTGTTTCCCCATGCATGTAATTATTGTCTCCCTGTGTCTTCATGTCCCACCTGTTCAAGTGATAAACAATATGTGCGTGTCCCTTTGTCCTTGTCCCCCCTGTGTATTCACACACGTCTGTGTACTCGTGTATTTTTTACTTGTCTTATGTCCACTTGACCAGGTGCTGCGCAGTGTGCTTCAGTGTGCCCCATATGCCCCTGTGTGTTCCTGTGTCTTCATGTCCCCCCCTTTGTCTCCAAGTCTCCATGTCCTACCTGGCAAGGTGCTGCACGGTGCCCGCCAGTGCCACCACGAGTCTCCCATCCCGTGCGTGCATGCGGGCACTGGTACGGCACATCGGGCACCAGAACGCACGGTCGCCCTCGTCTCCCTGACCCTTATCTCCCTCAGCCGCCCCTCCCGGCTGCACAGTAAACACGCGAGGCGTTGGCAGCTCACGGACAGCAAGTTCCACCTGTACACGAGCAGCACCAAGGGAGGGTATGGACATGAGTATTTAAACGTGCATTCGTTTGGTAATGGATTATAAAGAGCAGAGCGAGTCAGTGTGAGTCAATGTGAATCAGTCACTCGACGTGTTAGCAATCGTGAGTGTAATTCTGCGACTGTTTGACCGAGTTCCTCCTGCCTTTGCACGCAGGCGGCTCATCTCTGTGTGCACATGGCGCGCGTGTGCGCGCGTGAAGGAGTGCGCGCGGCCCTCCAGGGCGCTCCGCCGACACGTGGCGCAGCGCGGGGTCTCCAGCGCCTCCTCCTCTTGGCTCATGCTCGCAGTCGTGCGGGGTTCAGACCCCGCTGATGGAGACTCTAACACGGCGACAATGAACGAACACACCATGAGCAGTTAACACGAGACACATACACGGAGTAGTTAACACACGATACGCACACACTGAGAAGTAAACAAAGACACAGGACAAACACACACACCCCCCCCCCTGAGACGTTAACACACACACAAACAGGTCACATACACACCGATTTTAATCTAACACAGCGGTCTATAAACTTTAACACACACTATACTAAATCCTCGCAAATGTTTATTTCCAGCGGTTTAAACAAATACTTTAACATGCGTTTAATCATACCGTTCTGCAATACTAATTATACGTAAACAGATCATTAAATAAACTCATTTCAAATAGAACATTACTACAGACACTGTAATCATTAATAGGAGTGCTCTCACACAAACGCGTTCACACATAATTGTACCTGACCACACACGCTAGCACAATTGCATTCTTAGTGTTAGGTTAGCAAACCCGTCAACCCTTACCAGTGGCGACCTTATAACAGACCAATTCAGACCGTATTGGTCACCCCGTGCCCTTATAAATATCAACGTTCATCCTACAAAGTCCCATCACAGGGGAGAAACACAAAGACATTGAATAGTTTTAGCCCGTATTGGACCTGAAAACTCAAATTCCCCTGTACAACAATACGGGGTTTACAGGTATGGGTTCGGCGCAAGGCACAGACACTTAAAAGCAGACTAATATTAACAGTTGCAGACATCAGCTAATACATTTAAACACAAGGACATGTTAAAACGTCTCAATGTTAGCGCACAGTCTAGAACAACAATCTCCAATTAACGCGAAGGCTTTCGCGACCACAATAATCCACAAGAGGTGTTTTTGGGTCAGATCGCGTAAATTTGCGTCGTTAAACCCACACTTATATTGACGCGATGTAAGCCAAAACAACTATATTATGAACAAACTGAGATGTTTATCACACAAACTCAAATATTTAACTTTAACGTTGTAGCTCAGGCGCGGCCTAACTAGTCCACTAGGCCCGAGGCGCTAGTCGAACGAAGCTGGGTTACCCTAAATTCAGTTTTACGCGATAATTTAAAGAATAATCATTTACACTTCAGTACATTACCACGTGGCGTTGAACCTCTGCTTCTCGTTCAATCCCTTTTTGTAAATGTGCGATGTTTGTATGTGTCGTGTGGTAAGTTGTTTTGTAAACACGCTCGGCTCACGGAAGCAAGCCGCGATCCCACCGCGCGCAGATTCGCGTCTCCCGCATCCCCCCCCCAACCTCCCCCCCAACCCCCCCCACTCTCCCCCCCAACCCCCCCCCCAACCCGCCACCCCGAACCCAACCCCCCACTCACGCCCCCAACCCCCCACACCCCCTCCAACCCCCCCCAACCCCCCCGCAACCCCCCACTCCCGCCCCCAACCCTCCACTCCCGCCCCCAACCCCCCACTCTCCCCCAACCCCCCACTCCCCCCCCCAACCCCCCACTCCCCCTCACTCCCCCCCCAACCCCCCACTCCCCCCCCCAACCCCCCACTCCCCCTCACTCCCGCCCCCAACCCCCACTCTCCCCCCCAACCCCCCACTCCCCCCCCCAACCCCCCACTCCCCCTCACTCCCCCCCCCCCAACCCCCCACTCCCCCCCAACCCCCCACTCTCCCCCCCAACCCTCCACTCCCGCCCCCAACCCCCCACTCTCCCCCCCAAACCCCCCACTCTCCCCCCCAACCCCCCACTCTCCCCCCCAACCCCCCACTCCCCCCCCCAACCCCCCACTCCCCCTCACTCCCCCCCCAACCCCCCACTCCCCCCCAACCCCCCACTCTCCCCCCCAACCCCCCACTCCCCCCCCCAACCCCCCACTCCCCCTCACTCCCCCCCCCAACCCCCCACTCCCCCCCAACCCCCCACTCTCCCCCCCAACCCCCCACTCTCCCCCCCAACCCCCCACTCTCCCCCCCAACCCTCCACTCCCGCCCCCAACCCCCCCACTCTCCCCCCCAACCCCCCACTCTCCCCCCCAACCCCCCACTCCCCCCCCCAACCCCCCACTCCCCCTCACTCCCCCCCCCCAACCCCCCACTCCCCCCCAACCCCCCACTCTCCCCCCCAACCCCCCACTCTCCCCCCCCAAACCCCCCACTCTCCCCCCCAACCCTCCACTCCCCGCCCCAACCCCCCACTCTCCCCCCCAACCCCCCACTCTCCCCCCCAACCCCCCACTCCCCCCCCCAACCCCCCACTCCCCCTCACTCCCCTTCCCAACCCCCCACTCCCCCCCAACCCCCCACTCTCCCCCCCAACCCCCCACTCTCCCCCCCAACCCTCCACTCCCGCCCCCAACCCCCCACTCTCCCCCCCAACCCCCCACTCTCCCCCCCAACCCCCCACTCTCCCCCCCAACCCCCCACTCCCGCCCCCAACCCCCCACTCTCCCCCCCAACCCCCCACTCTCGCCCCCAACCCCCCACTCCCGCCCCCAACCCTCCACTCTCCCCCCCAACCCCCCACTCTCCCCCCCAACGCCCCACTCTCCCCCCCAACGCCCCACTCCCCCCCCAACGCCCCACTCCCCCCCAACGCCCCACTCTCCCCCCCAACCCCCCACTCTCCCCCCCAACCCCCCACTCTCCCCCCAACCCCCCCACTCCCCCTCACTCCCCCCCCCAACCCCCCACTCCCCCCCAACCCCCCACTCTCCCCCCCAACCCCCCACTCTCCCCCCCAACCCCCCACTCTCCCCCCCAACCCCCCACTCTCCCCCCCAACCCCCCACTCTCCCCCCCAACCCCCCACTCTCCCCCCCAACCCCCCACTCTCCCCCCCAACCCCCCACTCCCCCCCAACCCCCCACTCTCCCCCCCAACCCCCCACTCTCCCCCCCAACCCCCCACTCTCCCCCCCAACCCCTCACTCTCCCCCCCAACCCCCCACTCTCCCCCCTAACCCCCCACTCTCCCCCCAACCCCCCACTCCCGCCCCCAACCCCCCACTCTCCCCCCAACCCCCCACTCTCCCCCCAACCCCCCACTCCCGCCCCCAACCCCCCACTCTCCCCCCCAACCCCCCACTCTCCCCCCAACCCCCCACTCTCCCCCCCAACCCCCCACTCTCCCCCCAACCCCCCACTCCCGCCCCCAACCCTCCACTCTCCCCCCCAACCCCCCACTCTCCCCCCCCAACCCCCCACTCCCCCCCCAACCCCCCACTCCCGCCCCCAACCCCCCACTCTCCCCCCCAACCCCCACTCTCCCCCCCAACCCCCCACTCCCGCCCCCAACCCTCCACTCTCCCCCCCAACCCCCCACTCTCCCCCCAACCCCCCACTCTCCCCCCCAACCCCCCACTCTCCCCCCCCAACCCCCCACTCTCCCCCCCAACCCCCCACTCCCGCCCCCAACCCCCCACTCCCGCCCCCAACCCTCCACTCTCCCCCCCAACCCCCCACCCCCCCCAACCCCCCACTCCCGCCCCAACCCCCCACTCTCCCTCACTCCCCCCCCAACCCCCCACTCCCCCCAACCCCCACTCCCCCCCCAACCACCCACTCCCCCCCAACGCCCCACTCCCGCCCCCAACCCCCCACTCTCCCTCACTCCCGCCCCCAACCCCCCACTCCCCCCAACCCCCCACTCCCGCCCCCAACCCCCCACTCCCCCCAACCCCCCACTCTCCCCCCCAACCCCCCACTCTCCTCCCCAACCCCCCACTCCCCCCCAACCCCCCACTCTCCCCCCAACCCCCCACTCTCCCCCCAACCCCCCACTCCCCCCCAACCCCCCACTCCCCCCAACCCCCCACTCCCCCCCAACGCCCCACTCCCGCCCCCAACCCCCCACTCTCCCTCACTCCCCCCCCCAACCCCCACTACCCCCCAACCCCCCACTCCCCCCCAACCCCCCACTCCCCCCCAACGCCCCACTCCCGCCCCCAACCCCCCACTCTCCCTCACTCCCCCCCCCAACCCCCCACTCCCCCCAACCCCCCACTCCCCCCCAACCCCCCACTCCCCCCCAACGCCCCACTCCCCCCCAACCCCCCACTCCCCCTCACTCCCCCCCCCAACCCCCCACTCCCCCCCCAACCCCCCAACCACCCCAACCCCCCACTCCCGCCCCCCAACCCCCCACTCTCCCTCACTCCCCCCCCCAACCCCCCACTCCCCCCAACCCCCCACTCCCCCCCAACCCCCCACTCCCCCCCAACGCCCCACTCCCGCCCCCAACCCCCCACTCCCCCTCACTCCCCCCCCCCAACCCCCCACTCCCCCCCCCAACCCCCCAACCACCCCAACCCCCCACTCTCCCCCCCAACCCCCCACTCCCGCCCCCAACCCCCCACTCCCGCCCCCAACCCCCCACTCCCGCCCCCAACCCCCCACTCTCCCCCCCAACCCCCCACTCTCCCCCCCAACCCCCCACTCCCCCCCAACCCCCCCACTCCCCCCCAACCTCCCCAACCCCCCACTCCCCCCCAATCCCCCCACCTCCCCGCTCCCCCCCCCCAATATTTAAAGAGCCGCAATGCTCGTGAACAGCGTCACGAAGCAGTCCTTGAAGAGGCCGCTCGCTGGTTGTCGACCCCTGCTGGTCTTGACTGACCATCAACAACCACCGTGTGACGTCACTCTCACTGCACAGCTGTGCCTCGGACGAGAGTTGCCAACTCTCCCTGATTGTAAGAAATTGTATACAGTACATTTAAAAAAAACATCTCCCAGGAATAGTTTCAGCTAAAATTGGCAACCATAGTCTCGATATAAAGCACACGAGGAACGCTGCAGGCTATCATTGCAGTCTGCCTCTTCATTGCTGCCAGGCCGTGGATATCACCCTCGCTGGCCCTGGCCAAGGGTGGCACAGTCGGGTTTTTATTAAATCCTTTATATTAAGTTCGCTTGCTTGCTTGCTTAGGACCGTGCAAATCTTTCGGTCGTTTTTTAACCCACTTCCCGTGATCCAATCGAGCTGACATTTTGCACACAGACTCGTTGTGCGTGACAATGAATTTTCGTGAAAATGTTTTTCCAAAATTTTACACTGTTTAGGGAAAAAAAACATTTATTTACCAATTGGTTAATGCTGGCACACAATCATCTGACCCATAGGTGGCAGCCATCTCAAGCCAGAGGACGAGAGGACTCTAGCCGCCACGCATATAAAGGATTTATAGTGACACAACTTTGTTTTTACGGGTTATACTTGTTTACAATCGGGGTTAATTGTCTTTTTATATTAAACCCAATCATCTGAGATTGGGAGAAATCCGGTTTAATTGATTCTAATTGCAGAACCGCACTGGCTCAACGATGGGCTTCATCCATTCCAAGCGAAGGAACTCACTGGCGCCCACGATTGTGGAGGAGAAGCTCCTCGTGTTCATCAAGACCAACCTGCCCGCCGCATTCTACGACTACCCCGTGCCCGACGGCCCCCCGAGTACGACAGCAGCACCGACGAGGAAGCAGCCTAAGCCTTGTATCAGAGTTTCGTATTCATTAAACCAGGTTTTAATTCCCCGAAATCGGGTTTAATTGTATTAAAGAAAAAAACCCGATGCCTGCCGCTACAAAAATCGGGTTTTTTCCACCCATTGCCCTGGCTGAGTGACCATTATTTCCGCACATTTTCCCCGTGCTTTGACTCCGTTAACCAGATCGCTGTCTAGACCCGTTTCTTTTCTTGCACTTGGCCACTCCCCAGGGATGCTGCAGTCTTCTGTCCACCTTACATGGAGTGTGCGAGTGGCCAAAAATCTCGTCGTCATCACGATCATCGGTGTCCACTGCACATTGATAAATGTTGTGTAAGTTCGTTGTCCTTCACTGCACCGCCGATCAGCACAGTCGGCTACGTACGATGCAAATTTCAACATTTTGTGATTTGTTACCACTTACCTGTCTTGTGCCAAATGCTCAAGGGGCCGTCCATAAATGACGTCACGCGATTTTGGACGATGTTTGACCCCCCCCCCTCGTCACACGGCGTCATAAAAAGTCAGACCCCCCCCTCCTCAAATATGACGTCACAAAGCTCTGCCCCCCCCCCCTCCCAAAACAATATTTCCATTTTGAAAATAAAACATGCTTCAAATCGCTTGAAACTATTGTCATTGTAGTGCGTATTTAATGTGGCGCTGCACTCTGATGTCGGAGAAAACATGTATTGAAAAAGTCTATTTAATTAAGTAGAACGTGTTGTCTATATTTATTTAAAGTTGCGCATTTTGATGTGACGTCACATTTCTCAACCCCCCCCCCCCCCTCGTCACACATCGTCACAAATGTCTGACCCCCCCCCACCCCAGGTGCGTGACGTTATTTATGGACGGCCTCTCAGGTTTTTTTTAATGTCCAGGTATCGCAGGTATACGAAGGTGTACTAAACACGCATGTGCTTAAGATGCTCAATTTGGTCTTGGAGCTGATATGTTATTGATTCCTGCCAGTACTCCTTTTGTCTTTGCGTTCCTCGCTCTTGTCTTTCGTGCAGTCACTGTCCCCATGTCGGTAGACTTCGTAAGTAAAGTATATACATTCATTTACATTCACAATATTGCTGCTTTCTATCACGTCTTTCTCAATATCCTCCCTTCCGAACAATATCGTCTGTCTTTTCCACGTTAATCCTTAGTCCTGCATCCTTTCCTGACTTATTATTCACCATATGAACACGTTCCTGCAGTACGAGGCAGCCTTCTTCCATCATATCTATGTCGTCCGCGAATCTCAGGTTATTTATTCTTTCTCATTCCACAGATATGCCTGTGCCCTTGTCCTGAATGTCATCCATCACTCTTCCAAGTATGTGATGACGTTGATTGGTGATAGTGGATCTCCCCGTCTTATGCCTATTTTTGTCGGGAAACATTCTATTTCCTGTCCAAACTTGACTGCTGACTTTCACCTGTCACCTATACCCTGCAGAATCTGTATCAGTCATTCTCAACTCCATGATCTTAATGTTGCCCACGAATCGAATGCTTTCTGGAAATCTATGAAACGGTTGTAAACCATACTGTTGTAAACTCGCCCATTATTTCACTTTGCTTTCTACGCTATAAGTCTTAACATCAATATTTGCTGTACTGTGTTCCGATCTCTCCTAAACTTTGCCTGTTCATCCGCCAAATCCTCATCTGTGCTTTAAATCGAGTTAATAACGCGATCATTAGTATCTCCCCCATGTGGCTCAGTGCGATGGTTCTTTAATTTCACAATTGGTGACATCTCCTTTATTGGGTTTCGTCACAAGTATGGATTTTGTCTATGCCTCCGGTATTTTCCCTTCTTTCCATACTAGCTCATTTTAAAAGTTACTTTCTTCCCACTTTTATCATCTCTCTTATGCCGTCCACTCCTGGACTTTTGTTTTCTTTAGATGTTTTATTGCCTTTTCTACCTCTTCGTACAAGATGTTATCATTCTCATCATCCCTCGGTGGTAGGGTTATCTTTTCTAGTTCATCTAGCAGCTCTGCATTCTCTACAATACTCAGTCCAGTGGCGGCTCCTGCAAAATCTCTCAGGGGGGGCAAATGTCTGGATGATTGATAAGGATAAGGTCCACCCATGCAATGGATAAATTAACAGCTTAAGCATGTAAAGGCAACTTCACTTCTTTAATATTAATGAAAAATAAAGTGACTCTTACAATACATCTTGTTTGTTTCTATCTATTATTACAATCCACTTAGTTTATTTTATTAAAGATTCCACTAGGTGGCGACAAATAACATTGTTGACTGAAACGTGCTTACGTATGATGACGTAAGCACGTTAGGGCGAGCCCTCCCGGAAGCCATAGAGAATGCATTGCAGCGCCCGCCGTTCGAAAAAAAACATCTTTGAATGTAAGTCTATGGGACCACACGGGGCGATTCTCAGCCAGAGTGAAATCGCCCAAAAAGAGGCGGTACTCCACAGAACGTGACATGACGCTGATTGGACTATATCCAGAGGCACAGTGACGGCTGAGATTGGTGGTGCGTCACCCAACCGCCCTATTGAAGAAACCGCCCCTGACTCAGTCCATCTCTTTTTGGTCTCTTCCTTTCTTCATAAAGATCTTACCGTCCTTACCTTTTATCGCCGTTTGCCTTTATTGCAACTTCATATTTGTGCTCTTGGATAGTCTATACACCTCCCTGTTCTTGTATTCTCCAGTGTAATATTCCATAATCGCTACATTGAATACTACGTACGATCTTATTACACTGGTCAACAACAAAAAATTTCTGGCCTGAACTTTTGCAGCTGTTTTAAACTAATTTCAGGGTGCTGATTCCAAATCTGATCTCAGATTCGCTCTATCACATCTCATTTTTATGCTATCGGCATACCCCATTTTAATTGATTTTACCCGAAATTAACTGTCACTTGTGATTGCAAGTTGTTGCGAGTCAGTGACTGCTTTAGTGTTAAAATATGGTGCTGTATGTTTAGGATAGTGTGTTTATAATATAATTTTATGTAGATATCCACATTTAATATTTTTCTTCTGCAGTTTTTATTGAAAATGCAATATTTGATATCTCAAAAACCTGATGTGATAGACAAAAACTGATTTGGAATCAGCACCCCAAAATTACCTTAAAACCGTTGGAATACCTTATGCCAGGAAAAAGTGTGTTGACCAGTGTTATTTGCACATCCAAAGGGCGGCACTTCCAAACTCCTGCGACTCGTCGCAACCGATTAGTCCGACTGTGATCCTGCCTTGCAAAAGGCTGTTTCGCCTCCGGGCTTACAACTTTCCCCATTTGGATGGAATATGGATATTGGATTTCGTGCAAAACTTAATAGCACACCGCGGCATTTCGTATCCCGTGCACGGTCATCTTTGTGTAGAGAGACCTTAATCGTGCAGTGGATTGGTCGTGGATGATGATGATGAATGTTGCAAAGAGTTGAGCATTTTTGTTAAATTTTCCAACCACATCACCACTCTTGAGACAAGTATCTCTCTTGACTTTATTAAGCACAATATTCATGAATTAAATTCACTATTCTGTGTTACTCAGGGATGTAACGATTCACTCATAGCTATGAATAAATTAGTACAATTCGGGTTACGATTCCACTTTAGCCTTGCTCTTTTTGTGTAACACAAGGGGGTTCTATTCACAAATCACAAGCAATATGAATCGAAAATAATTTGCACACGACTTCCTGTGTCATTAGCGTTATAAATGTTTAGATGGATGAATTGTTACATCCCTATACATCTGTACCAGACATTTGTCTACGAAGTGATTTATTTCGTTAATGCAACTGCAATGACAAACTACCATATAAACCAACATCATCCCTAATCACACAAGAGGTGAAACACTAAGCACAGCACAAAGCGGTAAAGGAGCTCCCACTTGGCAACAACACTTTCAAGCACAACTATCCATGTAACAATTTGCCCCCCCTCGTGATTTGATTAATTGCCACGACTATTTTCTAGGATCGATAAAATTTAATTGTGAATGCAGCGCCTCTAGTGGCTTGCAGGGGTCACGTGGACCCCATTATATACAAGATACGAATTGATAAATTGATGCTCGTACACGATTTGGTGCAGTGTACTTAAGTGGAATTGATTTTAATAAAACAAAATTGATGCATGTTACATACCAAGTTAGTAGAAATGCAACATGTTAAACAAAGTCCAGCCTTAAAATGCTGTGCACAGAACAGTGTTTGCAATTCTAGGCACAATTCTTTATTTAGCCTTACAACCTTTAAACTGAACCTTTCTCTCCAGGTTAACTAATATTGAATGTCAGTTTGCACGGATGTCTCTCTGCTGTTATCGGTTGGTCAGAATTCTATTTTGCTTATTTAAATGTCACCTTCATTCATAATAAAAAAAATGCAATTGCAATTGTACATAACGCTTAAATTGGGTTACGACAATAACATTATCATTATTTGAAAATGTAATATACTTTGATAATACTCATCGCTGATTTTGATCTCAGAAAGGAGAATTGGGCTCGCTGATGAGCGGCTCGTGTGGAGTTGCTATAATTCCGGTTGTAAAATTGTGCAACCAGCTACAGCAAAGACACACACACATCCAGTGCAAGTCTCGAAAAACGTGATGTTGCACAATCGCTAATATTAAAGTCATATTGCGTCACTGCATCAAGCGCTTTCAAATGCGATTCTGCGGAAGTCTGGAACAATTCTCCTTCCGATATTAGGAAGCACGTGGGGCTAAGCACTTCTAAATATGGATTGAAAACGAATTTCTTTAGAACTGCTTTCAGCGTTTAGTGTGTTGCCCTTCCGCTGCATCTCCGCTCATCCCGGTTGGCTACATATAGTGCGAAAGAAGTCTACATATACGGGGTGTTTTAAAAAGATGGACCCGATTTGAATACGCTATATCTTTGAAATTGGGCCCATCTTTTTCAAACACCCTGTATATTGGCCCTCGCGAAATACTTCCTTTAACCAAATCAACTATCCCTCATGTTTGTGCTGCTGCAGCATGTGTGATTGGCACAAAGCCATTTTGTAACCCCGATAATAAAGTAAAACATGTTTCGTGTTCTAAACAAACCAGCTGTGCTCAAGACGCGATCACTCATCTATAATTACTCTCATTTAGGCAACAAAAATTCAGCGTATAACACCCGTGGTTTTGTGTTGTGTTTTTCATGGTGCAGCGTGTGTTAATGTTCGTCTCTTTACTTCATTTAGTATTTTGTCTTTTAGAGTTTGTTGATTATGTCGTTCATTGCGATGTTTCCCATGTTTGTGTCACGTCTGATGTAAGCCGTTGGGTGAATGTGGTTCACTGTGCCCCGGCGTTTGTAGTGTCTCTCGTGTTTGTGTTGATGTTCTGTAGTAGCCAAGTGCAGAAACAACACGATGGCATCCCCACATGTCAGCAGAGCTTACAAGTTCCGAGCTGTAACTCCAGAGATGGAATAAGAGACCGTGAGATACATGGAGCTGGATACAGAAATGAAACATGAGATGAACATAAATAGAGGAAGACTAGCAGAAAAAACGGATTAAGAAACAGAGGAAAAATAACAGATCATGAAAAAGCAATAGAGAAAGACGCCGACGAAAGGAGAAAACAAAACAAAGTGCAAGTGAGAATGAGATATGGTGAGATGGAATGAGAGATGAACGAGGGAAATGTGAAAAAGTTGAGAGTGAGGCAAAGAGTAATGGAGAGGTAGAGAGAGAGAGGGAGAGACAGGCAAGGATAGGGGAAGAGGCAGGGGGAGATGCAGGCAAGGAGGGAGGCAGCGAGAGAAATAGAATAACGAGAGCCTGAGGAGCAAGGCTGATTAAATTGGATAAGGCAGCTCGTTAAAACAAATTTAACCAAACTTTAAGAGGCACCAAGAAGTGTGAGAGGCGCCTCCCCAGGGCTGAGAGCCACCGAACCCGACATGAGTGGGGTTAAGCATAACGCCATTTAGTAGACGCATACATATACATATGCTCACACGTAACACACTCGTGTATATATATACATACACACGTACAAACACAGATACAGCACTCGAAAACACTTGCACTTATATACATATGCAGAAACAATTATTTGCCACGTATTGTTACAGACTTTTTGGGCAAGTGCTGCGAATGAGCATCTAACTAAGGCCAGAACAGCGCACAAGGGGGCTACAATAACTTTGACACACACGTACAATCACAAACAAAACCCTCCAAATCAGCATCAACAGACACCAAGCACCGGGGATTAAACGAGGGGTTTCAGAGGCGCTTGTTCACATACTTGACATACGCAAGGGCCATTCAGCCATTTAACAAACACCAAGTACAAGGATGTGAAAAGCAAGCCCCTCTGAGATGACAACTCCCTGCCCTGACATGGCCATTTTGGCCCACCTTGTGGATGATGGTGCTGCCTATAAAGGGCGTTACGCTTTTTGGCAACGGTTGTGGCAGGCTGCAGGGCAAAACTGCTGCACTGAAAGGCTGTTAAGGGGTTGTAAAGAGGTTTTAAAGAGGGTTTAAAAACAGTAATAAACTTTAAAAATCCCTTTTAAAAAAAGGAACACATTTCCACTGTAAAGGACATTTTACGTATTTGAAAATGCTCTTCAATTGGCAACTTGTTTAATGGAGTTGTAACGAGATAACGGCGTGGTCTCGTCTCCTCTTTTGGCACTCGTGACGGGGCGATGGCACAGATCTGCACACACACACACACGCAAGGAGATAACACTCAACACCCCCTATCGCAATATCCTGCCTCACGAGCACAACCACAGGTAAACCCATACACGCCATAGGAGAACATTACATCCGGCAGTGTTTATAGGTTAGGCAAGCTGGTACCGCCCCCCCCCCCCCCCCAACTTACTAGCAGGGTGATTTATTTCGATTTAAAGCTTTCGTGACTGCAGGGATTCATCTTCTTGGTTCTTTCGGTAAAGTCACGTAGAAGGGAAGTAATAAAATAATAAAAATAAAACTAATAAAATAAAATAATTCTCACGACGTTTCGGCTACAACGCAAGCAGCCGCTGCTCGCGTTGTAGCCGAAAGAACCAAGAAGAGGGTGATTTATTTTGAAATTGCAACGGTGAATAAATCTTGCATAAAGAGTGACAAGAATTCCCATTAAGCTTTGCACACTCCACGATCCAGAAACTCCCACCCCCCCCCCCCCTTCTCTCTGCCTCCACCCCCTCCACTCGTCTCCAAGCTGCTGACCGTGCCTTCGTCTGCTCACCTTGTCGTGCCGTCATCAGCCCGAGTGCTCAGTTTCGCTGGCGGACACCATCCTCCTTCTCGCTGTGCATGTCACTCTTCCTGCACGAGACAGAGGGGGCATGAGACGCGAGGCACAGGGAACACAAGACGCGATATGGGGAACGAGACGAAACATAAGATACGAGGCCATGGAGACACGAGGTACACAGGACCATGAGACAGAAGGACCAGGTGCCTCAGGGACGTGAGACAAAGGGACATGACAAAATGACTGCTACTAATATAACTACACAGGAATGTCACATCGCCATCATAAACACCACACCCCATCTACATCTCATCCAATACATCACATATCCAGCATCTGTACTATATAATCCATTTCACTAGCACTACACCATCTACACATAACTATATCAACATTATATATGTTACACAATCTACATATAAACTACTCACACCTAAGTCACACCATACACATTATCTCTGTATCATCGAGACCAGGGGTGAGGAACCTTTTTTCTGCCAAGGGCCATTTGGATATTTATAACATCATTTGCGGGCCATACAACATTAAATTTATGTTGCTATGAAAAAAGCGCCTAGATTTATTGAATTTCGAGTTATGCAGTTGCCTTGGCAGGGCCAGACCAAATGATTTTGCGGGCCTTATAGGGCCCGTGGGCCGGACGTTCCCCATCCCTGATTTAGACCGATAGCTACACTCCAGCATTGGGATCATTTAAATCCACGCAATTTACAATACACCATCAACATCATGTACACGATCTACACTGCATCAATCGCATTGTGTGATGTTATCATGTGATTTTTTAAGTCTTGGTTGGGGGTAAGCCTTGGTACTCAATGTCAGGGCTACGGACAGGTGAACGGGTAGTGCTCAGCTTTGGGTTAAGGCTAAGCTAAGGCTAGGTCACGAGTGGGTACTCACAGCGGCTTGGGCTCATCCTCTGCAGGGTTGACAATTCCAAGCAGCATGGGCAAAACAAAAGAAGATACACACACACACAGGCACACAAACAGGTAAACAAACTGTTAATCAATGCGTCGCACGTGGTAGAATAACATTGAAATCAAGGTACAGGTGATTTTCCCCACTTTGCCTCGAATGCCCTCATGTCGCCATGTCTCACCCTGGATGACAACCTCCTTCTTCGTGGTGCGCTTCTCGTAGATGAAGATGATGGTGATCAGCACTATCACCTCCACGACGAGCCCCAGGAAGATCCAAACAGATGCCATGCGGCTGTGGATTCGCACAGCCATCACCGCCTCGTCACTGCCCACAGAGTTTGAGGCCTGGAGACACAGGGGCACATCGGGGCATGTTGATCGTAGCGATGGTGAGGACGTTGGTGATGAGGGGTGATGGCGGTGTTGATGGTAGTGGTAACGATGGTGTCGAGTGGCGATGGTAGTGGTAACGATGGTGTTGATGGTGGCGATGCTGTTGAAGGTGATGCTGGTAATGATGTTGATGACTGTGATGGTGACGATGGTATTTATGGTTGTAATGGAGGTGGTGTTTTGATGGTTGTACCCGGCAGGTGTAGTTCCCCTCATCTTTCCCACTTTCGACAGTGGCGATGGTCAGTATCGTGTAGTTCCCATGGGTGTGCACCTCCCGCCTGTCCGTGCCATTCTGCACCAGCTGTACATCACCATATCAACATATCAAAACACCGCCATACACATATCAAATACATCATCAGCAAAACATCAACACGACACCAAAAAGTGTTGTTAACATGACGCTACTTTGGTAACGAGTGCGTTGCTTCGAACATCCCACATGTGGCTACGAACAGGTTATTATGGGACTTTATTGCCGTTTGGAAAAATCTAGTGACAGATCAGATGGTGATCAAAATAAAATACCCATGCCTGATATGCGTGCAATTGAATCACATATTCGGATATGTGGGATATGTGGGATTTATAAAAAAAAAATACATTCAGAAATATGCGGCACACATGATATAAAAAGGAATGAAGTGTTCAGTGCAATGGAGACCTCCATAAGTGGCAATTCACTGAACCACTGGGGTGGGGGCAAGTGGTTCTGTGCCCAGTGGAGGACCACAGGAGAGGTGAACAAGTGGGAAGGGGGAAGGCAGAGACAAACCACCAGTTGTTAAGCCATGAGGAGATGGTCTACAAGACTGATCGATCATCGAGTGATGGACAGGCACGGGGCTTGGCTGTATTACCGTTGTCCAGGTGGATGGAGATTGTCCAACAGGTGAAATACTGTAATGGTGGAAGAGCACAAGGAAGTAGATGATGGAGGAGGATGAGGAGATAGACCAAGAGGAGATGCACCGTTAGGAGGTGGTTGTGTGGATGTGTGTGTGTGGTTGAGTGGTGTTGCGGACGCACGTTAAGGACCCCGTTGACCGTGTGGAACCAGGTCCAGTTGAAAGCTGGGAAGCCCGAGGCGATGCACTTGATCCGTGCAGTCTCCCCATCCGTGCGGCTCTCGTGGTGCTTCTTGTGCGGAGCGATCTTGGGCTCAGCTAGGGGAATAGACACAGCGACTATAGCCGCAAGTTCCACAAACTCCAACATTTACTTGTCGTTGAAGTTAAGGTTCAGGGGGTAAGGTTAAGGATTCAGATTTAAGGTTCCTTTTAGGACACAACTCAAAAGGGACACTCAGAATGGGGGGCTCAGGCTAGGTTTTGGGTATAGATGGGGCTCACTATGGACAGGGATTTACGGTTTGGGAATGCATGGAGCTCGCAAAAGACAGAGTTATGCTGGTATCTGGGTTCAGGTTGGGGTCGAGGGGGCAAAATGAGACCCACTGGAGACGTTGATGAATGAATCCTTCTCGCCACTGTCGGTCTTGAAGATGCAGTGGTAAGAGCCCGCATCCGACGTCACCGGCTTCTCGATGCTGGATGAGAACCGGCAAGACACAGACACAAGTGAAGCAGCCTCATGGTCAAAAAAGCTCAATTAGGGTCACGTCAGGTACACAGAGCCGGCACCACCCTGACCATGCTGGGTTTGAATCCAGGCACCAGGCACTCGTGATTTAATCTATTCTTAAACACAGTGAGTAAACCGTCTCAGCTCTGCCAATAATAACCTCGTTTAAAAAACCCCATCATATATATTTTGCTTTTTACTAAATTTATCATTTCCACAATGCCAGTGATTTTTATCCACCATGAGCCACCTTTCAATATTTAGCAATCTTGTACTTTACATTACAAATTAAGTCATTACACCTGATGTGACTTAAGAGTGTGTCAATTCAAATCCAAGGTCCTCCCTACAACACTTCGGACAGACTTGTACACAGACGCACGCACGCACGCAATACCTCTACCTTAATTTAAACAGGAAGCACTACAACACAGCTAGTACACTTAATAATTCACAGGCGTGCAGTGTATTAAAAATGTATTTGTATTTAAATGGAGAAAACTGGGAAACAAGGGCTAATGCACCATGGGGGGTCATGGGGGGTCAAGAGGACGTAGGTTTGGAAAACCCCGACCTCATTCATCCTTGCCCATCTAGCGCGACTAAAATGTGTAAATATATCAACAGACCGACACCGCGGCTAACACCCTTGGTCGAGTACGAGGGACCACTGTCGTGAGATAAGTGACCAAGGTCTGTTGATGAAAACACCAATTCACGTGGCTCTATGGGTGTCACCTTCCTGGCCTGACATTACAACTTGGGACCTGATATCTGATGACAAGAGGTGGGGGAAGGACGATATTTTATCCTGCAGATGGCGATAATAAAAACCCAAGATGAAATATGCTTAACTTGCTCATAAATACGATGAATGTGCTCGCACACACACTCTTAATATGTTGCGTTTGTACGAGAGTCGGAGGGCATAGATATGCAAGTCGGCTTGGGTGTTGATAAATTGGTTCCCAACCTGTAGCACGTGTACCCCTTGGCATACATGGGAAAACTCTACGGGGTACAAAAGACCATTCACGTAACGGTGGCGGTCACGCGGGGGAAGGTCACGCGGGGTTACTGAGCAGTGCTGCCCTGCCCATGTGCACACTCGCAAATCTAAAGCGATATGGTGAAACATCGTAGTCACCCTGTGCATTTGTAATCCACAAGAAACATTCCTCAATTCCATGACAAAAATTATCTTGAGACTCGACATCCAGTGAGCCTCAGCCTTCTTCCCACCACTAATGGTGACTCCATTCATTCTGTGGGTGTGATTTTTGTAAGTGTTATTAAAGTGTAATTATTAAACTGTAACCGATTACTTCATTGCTATTAAGTTATTCAGAGTTAACCAAACATCTCTGGTGTAAATTAATATACAAATAGAAAAAATCTAGTGAGGCGAGCGTCAACGACTTACGACTCATCTAGTGTCAGCACGTGCCATTGTTGGTGTGTGCGAGTGCCATCTCGTGTGCCAACACACACACACCCACACACAAACCCACACACACACACACCCACACACACACCCACACCCACCCACACACACCCACACACACACCCACACACACACCCACACACACACCCACACACACACACACCCACACACACACACACCCACACACACACACACCCACACACACACACACACACACCCACACACACACACACCCACACACACACACACACCCACACACACACCCACACACACACACACACCCACACACACACACACACCCACACACACACACACACCCACACACACACACACACCCACACACACACACCCACACACACACCCACCCACACACACGAGGCCCTTGTCAGTCTGCACGTCATATCGTGCTGGGGTGGGTCTCCAAGATTGTTCTCCGCCTCTGCCCCCACATCAATCCCAGCCCTCTCAGACCTGGCACGACCCACTTGCAGTTATTTTTGGCGATGAAACTTGTCAGTTGCCCTTTATGGATTGAGGAATGGATAAGAGAGGGGCGAGGGGTCGAAGCCCCTGATTCTTACACTCGCACAGCAGCCAAACAACCTCGAGAGGAAACCTGCTGTGTGCTGTATCCATGGACAATGGCAGTGAGTCATGTCTGCAGGGAGGCGGTGGAGAAAAATCGGTTCTCGGTGAATGTTTTCATCCATAATTTCGGAGAAAACCTCCATTATCCATGTTGACATAGAGGGTGTCGTGGGCAGATTCTGTTTCCAGTGTGGTTTTTTTGCAACATGTACTTTGTATGGAAACCTACCGATAGATACGAGCAGCCTATGGCAATGATTTCACCGCTTAGCTGGGTGCTCACCACCCTAGGCTGCATCTGGTGTTGTGTAATGTGTTGCCTCTGAAGACGAACGTCTCACGGCTCAGTTGGACTCACTACGTATGCATTGTTACATGCCTTAAATAAGCCTTTGAAATGTTAAATCACAGAACTAATTCTAAACTCATTTCAATAGCCTTGCTATTCACACTACAAGGTGAACTTATGCCCTGAAAAGTGTTATTGCGTAAGAAAATGCAATGTTTTATACTCCTAGTTGGAACCGTGATGGATTAATGGGGAAAAAAAAGACATTTTATTATGGCTTTGTGTAATTAGTGACCAATTGCATCTCTGTGGGCACAACCTTTGTCTCATACAATCTAGAGGTCTCATCTCATTCCACACAAAACCCATCTTGTGATGGAATGAAGACCAAGAGAGGAAGCAAAGTAAGAGAGAGAGAGGAAAACTACCGTAAAAGATGGAACCTGTCAGATAATTTCACACGTAGAGGCGATACGGGTTGTGGCATCATAGCACAAAGCAGGACGGCAAAGATGCGTGGAGATGTCTTCATCCAGAAGTGGAGAGACAACAAGGACTGATGATGATTATAAATCAATGCCTCTTTCAACAGAACCCATATCTCATGTGACACATTATCGTCTCGCCGCATGACCCCATGCGATGTCTGGTGATGTACGACACGGTGACACGTGGCGTGCGGTCACGATGCATAGGATGGCATGTGCTAAAATGGCCAGGCCTCCCTCCTTGACATTCTCACCCCCCCACCCCCCTCACCCCCCCGTCTCGCTAATGAAATCCGCGCACTCACAAATACCCACGCTCATCAGGGGCCATTCACGGAGGGGGTAAATGTCAGTGCAACCAGACACGCGGGGCTACTTATTCCTATCCCATGCATCCATCTCTTGTTGATTACGTTTTTTTGTATTTTAAACTCTAAGTTTGTTATGTTTAAAGGTGCCACGAAGCTATTTATTTCTATGCTCGGGAAACGGTATATCTTGTCTACTCAAGGACGCAACATTTTTCATAGAAACAACAAATCCTATGAATAAATCACTACAAAACTCATCACGCAGCTTAACAATCAATACCAGTTGCCTGACATGGATAGTTGTTTAGCTGTATGTTTGGCAATAAAACACTTTCATTTAAATGTGTTGTAAATTAACTCCATCGGAACAAAATCACGTGGGTGTTCATGTGTTTTCGCTTCTATGCGTGTTTGAGTTTCTTCAATATAAATCCCCAAACACAATGCAGGCTCCATTAATTGACAAGCTTGCTCGCTTGTTGTTGGCATATGCACCATTAAACCTTTCACCCATTCTGCCACCACCATCTGATTGTCATCTAGGCCAACAGCGCTGGGTTTATTGGACTCAACCCACAATCGTGAGGTCTCGACTAAATCCCACTTGCAGGTCAACGAGACCCATCATTCCTCCATGGTCAATAAAACGGGTACTGCTTTGTGGGAAGTCTACAGTGTTCTTTTGTTCTTTCGGTAAAGTTACGTGACTTTACCGAAAGAACCAAAGAGTATGGATTCCCGCAGTCACGAAAGTTTTAAAAGTTAGAAGTCTACAATGATCGTTCTAGCGATGGAATAGCTCCTTTCATCAAAATGTCAAACATTTACCAACAGCAATGAGCACCACCCATCCAAAAATGACACGTTAGTTCAAACGTACCTTATCGTCGCTGTCAATGCAAGAAGATAAGTGTTTTGTTTTAAATCATTTCCTTACAACCTGCAGAAACCACCGTACAACGTGTTGATCGTCATGGTGTGAGCCAACTTGCAATGTAAGCTACAGAGTAACATCTATAGTCGCGCGTGTGCATGAATGGAGATACGAATCTTACCACATGCACAGGGACGAGGAAGCACACTGAGCTCTCACATTGGAGCTGAACACACAGGTTTTCATGGAAAAAGGGGCGCAGGTAGCCAAGAAAGGATCGCAGTGCCCAGCTGAGCTCCATGACTTAGCATTGTCATGATGATTTAGGCTTAAATCAGACAAGACCGTTTCCCCATATAGGGAAAAACAAAACATTTTTCTTTTAAATTAGTTAATTATTAGTATTTGTACGTGGTAAAAAAACTATACTATGAGCTTGGGGACTCAATAAAGATCTATATTTCACCACTGCAAACGAAATGTTCGGAATACAGTTTAAAGGTCGGCAAAGAAATCTGGAGGATCAGAAGAGGATGCATACAATTAATTGTTCAAAAGAGGTATAGGGTAAAAGAAGAGGGTGATAATAGGAGATGGAGGGTCACAAACATGAGATTCACTATTTAGGTTAAAGGTTAGGGGTCAGAAGGGGTCAGATGGGGTCAGATGGTTGGAGGTGCGGGGTAGCGTACGTGTGAGTCAAGGTTCGGGAGACCAGATTGGAGTTCTTTCCATCCAGGGTATGGCCATCCTTCTCCCAGCGCCACGAATTCACAACCTCAGTGCCCTCCAGGGTGCAGCTCAGCACGATCGTCTTGTTCATTATGACCACCTCATTTGGTTCACTGAGCACTGCGGCAACAAGAGTGGGGGAGAATATTAGCAACATGTGACACACACCTCCATGCATTATGGTGTATGCGTGTGTGTATGTCTTTGTGTTTGTAAATGTGTACACTCGTTTATAAAGTGTACAGGCAGTCCCCGAGATTCGCGCATCTCAATTATGAACATCCGCACTTATGAACGAACCGCCATAAGATGTTATTATTTTTAACCATCTGACTTGCGTACGCTCGGTCTTCCTTACGAACTGAACCGCGGAACTATTTTGTTTGGCGGAGAGATCCTCCGTGAGATGTAATGAGTCCTAGCCAGTGAAAATAAAACATAATTTTTCTCATGTCACTTTATTTGATGTTTTTATTTACTATTAAGTATTTAAAATAGGATTACATGCCTATGTACAATATTTTTTCTTAACTATGAGTTCAACAGTGCATCCCTTTTTTGTTGAACCATAACACATTTTGTAACACTGACCGTATAAACAATTAAAGATTGAGTTCCGAGATACAGACAAATCGATTTACCAACAGGTCTCAGGAACGTAACCCATTCATAGAGGACTGCCCAGACATATATATGTAACTGTATTGCACAGCAGGATATTTTATCAGTCACATAACCAAAAGCATTTGATAGACCCACAAAAGTAAAAAAGTTATTGAAATCATAATCTAAATCAGCCAGAGTGAAACACGTGAACACTCATACGCAACACATACATGCACAGGCATGCATACACGTACACACAAGCATCGAGGCAGGCACACACACGCGTAGATACATGCGAAAATACATTCAGATACAGCCTTAAGAACATGTCTGCACAAAAACAGGTAAAGGAACGCACACTTGTACTTACACACAAAATTACAGATAATATAATTAGAAATAAATTCTCTCTCCCAGCCATTAAACCATTTGGACAAGTGCTGTTATGTTAGAACCCATTCAGGTCAGCAATGGTGTATGAAGGGGTGGTGTGGTCAGTATCACAATTGGCTGCCTTCTGTTTCCCCAGTACTGAAGTTTACACACCACACTAGGCACTCATTTAAGGCTGAGATGGCCTAGGACCGTTTTAGATAGTACCAGCAGTGGCTTAGAATAAAAACGCATTACCGAGTTCATAGCACTATACACTAACCAATGCTCCTCACACAGAAACCACACACGTGTGCACATGCAAAGACAAACTCCCAAAAAACACATGCAAAGATGTGGACAGGCACAAACAAACATTTTAACCCTACAAACCAGAGACAAGTGGTATTAGCAAGCACCTATTAAGGACAACCTGGTATACTACATACAAACATTTACTCAGGCACTCTGACACACAAACAGATCCTACTGCACACCTCTCATTCCGAAATGCTCGGCTCCACATGTACAAAGGCAAAGATTCCCCGTATAGCCTGAAAAGACTGTTGGGGCAAGTGCTGTTAGCGAGCACCTATTAAGGCTGGAACGGTACACGAGGGGGTGGGGGGCCAGCACCACACCCAATCGCCTGTCTCCCCAGTGGCGATGTTTACACACCGCACCAGGTACTCATTTGAGGCTGAGTCGACCTAGGGGAGGCCTAGGACCGGTTCAGATAATTGTAACTGGTGTTGGCCGTGAGCGGGAATCTAACTCGGGTCACCAGGTTCGTAGCGCAGCGCGCTAACCGCTACACTACCGCTCACATGTACACACACTCTCACACAAACACGCACGTCTGCCCCCTCACACACAAATACAAAGGCGTTTTAGCCTGCCTGATTACACTGCTGTTTGTTATCGAGTGTCTATTGATGCAGACATGGCACACGAGTGGGTAGCAGCAAGGTCAGCACCGCGCATGCACGACTGCCTGCATTACACGATCTCAATTCATGCCACCGGTGGTGCTGCCTCAGTGCTTCCATGGGCATTACGGGTCCCCCTAGGACAGGCAATCTGGCCTAGTTTGAACAAAGGATCACGGAGGGTTTTGCTCTTGTATCAATCTCCACACAGCCATATTAATGATTCCCTTTAAGTACTCTTGAAAACCTCAATGATTCACAAGACTTTTTTCTTTCTGCATTGATATGTTTGGCCAATTCCATTAATGAATGTTTGGCTTGTGGGAAGCAGAGAGTATCGAAAGAAACCCCACACATATGAAGGAGTAACAATAAAAAATTCCACGCAGATAGATTCAAGAATCCGTTGCTGTATTGTCATGTCTTACCCACCTCTTGGCCATTTTTAGCATTTGTAATTTTTCCCCAATTTTATTCCAATTGTGCCATCAAAGTATCCCATCATATCTCTCACAGAGCAGTGCAGACATTCGTGTTGGAGACTGGCCAACGTAAGTGGATATCACAGAGCTACTTCTGAGATCTCTTCTCTGGTCGAGTAGAAGGCAGCACACTTCCCACTTTCTCTAAATAGGAGGGAAGTTTGTCACACGACAGTCAACCAAAAAAATGATTCTTAGAACTGGAATTTTGCCCATTTAAATTAAAAATAAAATGTAACTTCATGGGGTTTTTTTTCTACAGTCATTGGAGACTAGGTGGAGCCTTTAAATTTGCTATACAGTACTTGAGGACTCAGTTTAATCGCAGGGTGCTGCCTGGATTTGACCTCAGCAGTGCCAGATTAGCATTGACACTTGAGCAAGAAAGCCTGATGCTTGAATAAAACCCACATCTTAAAACATGCGAGCTCAACGCTCCAAAACATTTTTAACCTTCCAAGAAACACCCTCACCTCGTACCTAAATAAAGAAGCTCAGAGGTGCATCTCAACACAACCATTATGAGCCCCATGAGTGACCAAGCAATGGGAATTCAACTCGGGACAATGGCGTTGGCTCAGCGCCCATGTAGGACCACTATGAGCCCCCAGAGAGAGACACACACACACCAACACACACGTAACCAGCAGTTTTTTTTAAAAAAATTATTACATTCTGTTCTCGGTTCCATGAATAGACTAGTGACGCAAATGTCATTAGGAGATGAAAGTACGATCGGCGCCCCCAATAGCAGAGCACCCAATGACACACGCGCGTGACTCGCACGACATGGTTCCAGTGCTCTAGTTAAACCCAGGCCACACCATGGGGTGAGCAGTTTTGTCTGGAGTGGAACCCAACAATGACCGGCTGAGACATGCGGCTTCATCGTGCGCAGTTCACGTCAACACGCCATGCCCCAACACCCAGGACTCAAACTTACAATCTTAGCCATTGCTGGTTCTGTGCCCATACAAGGACGTTATGTACCTCCTGTGAGACACCCAGACCATGGGCCTGAACCTAGGTATTCAAGGTGTTGACCAAGTGCCAACTATGAACTTAAAAGATTCACCCACTCCCCCACGATTTGATTGTTTGAAATCAGGGTCCCAATTTAATTCAACTATCTATTGTTATTTTTCCGTCTCATTTGTATAGTTTTGTTTGCTCCATTAATCTAAATGCTACATTAGAATAGGATCTATATACTGTATAAGGGAAATTTGTGAATATGTGTGTCTGTTCGAAATGTTTAGCATACTTTCCGACATGCAACAAACTTGAAATTTGACATGTAGGTCGCTTCCAGACTGTACAGACTTTTGTATTTTTTTGGGGAGGGGGCGCAATAATGGATATATTTTGCACAGCAAGTGAGCGGTGACGTCACATCTGTGATGTCACCCGCATGCGGCAGCGTTCCGCAGTGTGCCTGCTGACATCACCCCCCCCGCACCCTCCGCGTAGGCCGTGTATTAATGAAAGACAAGAATCCTAGTCTCGGGCAAAGCCGGGTAGTAAAGCTAGTATACATATAATTTCACTACATTAAAGAACTAATAAACCTCTCAGCTAAAAACTGCCCTCCGAGACATTTCGTTACTTCTGGGTGCAATATCAATTCAAAGTATTTTGTATTACTATTAAATTAACAGATCATGGCTACATGTGTAGTGTTATGATAAACCTCCTGAGAGAGAGGCACCCAGCACCAGGGCTTGAACTCAGGTTCTCAACAACACGTTCTGGCTCCAACATAGCCACTACAAACCTCATTAAACATTCACACCCAGGGCCTAAACCAAATCCAATTATATGCGTTGGCTTAAAACCCAGCAAAAAGTTAATCTTGCTTTTCTTAAAATGTAATTTTTCACCACGAGTTACTAAATTATTCCAGGCAGTAACTGTATCAGGAATTTAACCTTCCTATTTGTCCATAATGCAGGTTTTATTTTGAGCTCGCTGGTTTGGGGGTGTCAGCAACTGCCGGTCGGGTCAGCTCCACCACCTTGAATAATGAATAGATGACCTTTGAAATAACTGGATGTAACAAATACAAACATTAATGAGATGTGTGTAATGATTACTTGAAAGAACTCCTCTGGGTTTTCTACAGCCAGGCCAAACAAGGCAGTTGCAACAGGCTGGACATTCATTTCACCACTGTCAGGATTTTGTACACACTTTTTCAGATTGGCCCTCTCAGATAAGTATTTTCACCACACTAATCGCTAGAAAAGCTAGGAATAGTTAATTCCAACAGATAAATATAAATAAGTTACTTTGCTTTAATGCTCTAGCGCATACGAGCTGTGTGATTGTGAGTGAAATGCACCATCATGTGCTCTTAACCATCAGGTTCTCTGTTATGAAATGCTGAATGTCTTTAAATGTGTAGTGACTGTGAATGTCAGTGTGTGGTGCCGGGCTTACGAAGCCACGGCGGATGTGTTGGCATTATGTGTAGCCCGCTTACTGGGCGTAGTACCAGCCCTAGCGGAGCTTGATTGAGCGCTGGTCAGTACGGAGGCACCACGTACAGTGTGCGGTGACGGCTCCCGGTGAGGGAGCGAGAGAAAGTGTCAGCCAGCCAGGGTTACATTGGGGCATGATACGCTGGTTGACCTGTCGACACGTGACCGGATGATATTGGAGGGGGGCCACCGGTGGACGGGGGCCGCTGGGTGGTCACGTGGTATAAAGGAGCTCTCGGGAGCCTTCGGGA